ATATCTACAGTGAATATGCTGGAGTCGTTGAGTCGGTGCAAGTCGTCAATTAAAGCCGATTTACCTAATTGTCCAATAAAGGTGTTACAGATGTGTAACAATACGAAAGTCATTTACAGTCTGTAAAAAACAGACTGTAAATGACTTTCGTATTGTACTCAACAATGACAACTCAGATCAGATGGCGACTTTATAATAATAAATACTAAGTTTTACTCAGTTTAGTGTGTTTGTAAGATTCAGCTTTTTAAATAATAATAATAATAATAATAATAATAATAATAAAAATAATAATAATAATGTATGAGGTATGGATGTTACTAGATTAAACAAGAGCTGTCGGTAGGACAGAACGCACGACTATTCTAAGTGCTATATAGTAAATGAGACTTGATAATTTACAATTTTCACAAGAGAGCTAATTTTTTTTTTACAAATCCATGTTATAAGCCTTGAAGAGAGTCCCATTATGCTCCCAAAGAAGTGTATAAAATTTCAACTAGTTTCAAAGCAAAATGTCAATGAAATATGAAAATATTTGAGGTGGTACGCACTTAAACGTAAATTCTATGTCGAAAAAGGAGCATAATTCTGTCGAAATGCTTGATACAGTTACTTCCTCCTGTTAAGAGTTTGGGGCATGACGGTTAACAAGTGTGCAAAATTTCAAAGCCATATGTCAATGGACTTTAAATATATTGGAGGTATTACAAAAATTTAAACGTAAATTCTAAGTTGAAAAAGGGCGTATTTCTGTCAAAATACTTGATACAGTTACCTCCTCCTGTCTACAGGTTAGGGTCATGACGGTGAACAAGTGTGCAAAGTTTCAAAGCCATATGTCAATGGACTTAGGTATTACAAAAACTTTAACATAAGTGGTTACGCCGACGCCGACGCTCGGGTGACTGCAATAGCTCTACTTATTCTTATCGAATAGTCGCGCTAAAAATGATCATTATGCATGTTAAAATGTTGGTGTTTTTGTGATATATCATTCATTCATTCATTCATTCATTGCTTTTCCATTCATTTTTAGTCTCGTGAATTTCTAAATGGCTGCTGCAGGATACAAATGTGATTTACTATTTAGCGATAATAACGTTGTTCAAAAAATATGTTGTTGTTTTGCTCTTTTCCAGTAAAGCACTACAAGTTCACTTAGTGTCACTTTAAATACGACCCTACTTACTAACAAAGGAACAGAGCAGTAAATAATTGTGAAATGTTTTTTCCTTTACAGATAATTTATTTGGGATTGCCTTGTCTTTACGGCAAACTTTAAAAACATAAGCGCATTATATATTGTACTTATATGGTGATGACGTCATAACTGACATATACATGACAATGGAACCCGTATAATTTTATTATGGTAAATAAATGACATTGTTTATAATTGATAAGACATCTTTAATCAGGTGAGGCAAGTATTAATAACAACACAAACACATATCCCTCTGAGTATGGTATGTTGTTGATTAATTCACTCTCTCACTGAATGACATTGTAAAGTTGATCATAAAATAAAAACAACAAAAAATAGTGTTTAACTGAATGACTGAAATTTCACAGACAGTAACAATTGATATTTTGCACTCTCCGTATCTATGTAAGTCATTTACAATATTTCTAGGTTAACCATTTGCTCTCTGTATCTATGTTAATCATTTACTCCGTTTCTAGGTTAATAATGTGCTATTTGTATCTATGTAAATCATTAACAATATTTCTAGGTTAACCATGTGCTCTCTGTATCTATGTAAATCATTTACAATGTTTCTAGGTTAAAATTGTGCTATTTGTATCTATGTAAATCATTAACAATATTTCTAGGTCTCTGTATCTATGTAAATCATTGACTCCGTTTCTAGGTTAATAAGGTACTATTTGTATCTATGTTAATCATTTACAATATTTTAGGTTTGTTTGTTTCATTTTACGCCTTTTCTCAACAGTATTTCGGTCATATAGGCGGGTAGTTTCCTTACCATCGTTCCTGGAGAGTTACACCAGTACTAGACTACCTTTCTCCGTGCTAAACTACCAAAGCATCTCCCAGGGATCGAACCCACGCCAGAGAGGTAACTGGATTAGAAGTCATCGACTCTAACCCCTCGACCACGGAGGCGGTTTTATTTCTAGATGGACGATTTGCTCTCTGTATCTATGTAAATCATTTACAATGTTTCTAGGTGAATAATGTGCTATTTGTATCTATGTAAATCATTTACAATATTTCTAGGTGGACCATGTGCTCTCTGTATCTATGTAAATCATTTACTCCGTTTCTAGGTGAATAATGTGCTATTTGTATCTATGTAAATCATTTACAATATTTCTATGTGAACCATTTACTCTTTGTATCTATGCAAATTATATACTCTAATATCTCATTATTAATTTAGGAAAATCAGGTACTCTTCGTATCTAGGTAAATCATGTACTACGAATCTAAATGAATCGTGTACTATGAATTCTGGTAAATAATGTACTTTATGTATCAATGTAAATCATGTACTATGAATCAATGCGAATGACCGTAGAAATGAATTCATGATCAATCACAATTAAAGTCGCCTACACCGTCCGGGAATCAAACCTGCACGCCCGATTCAAGTACAATGATCTTCCCTCTAATCTTTATATATTGCTTGCCCGGTCTTTGAATATATTTTCATACTGAAATGGGCACTCTTTTAAAAATGTATCTCAATTTAACATAATCTGCTAGTAAGTTTAACAAGAGCTGTCAGTAGGACAGCGTGCTTGACTATTCGTAATGGCACATAATATTGTTAAAAAAATAATCTTGATACAATGACCTCCTAAACACAGGTTGAACAATTCTGCAATGTCTTTAAAATCTGGAAACATGTCAATGGATTATCTGAGGTGGTACGCAAATTTGAATGTAAATTCTTAGTCAAAAAAGGGGCATAATACTGTCAAAATGCTTGATACAGTGACCTCCTTAGGGATATGATGGTGAACATGTGTGCAAAATTCCAAATCGGGATGCCAATGAAATCGGCAAGTTTTGAGGTGGTATGCAAACTTTAAGTAAAAAAGCGGCATGACTCTGTCAAAATGCTTGATAGTTACCTCCTCCTGTGTGCAGGTTGGAGGCATGAGGGTAAACAAGTGTGAAAAGTTTCAAAGCCATATGTCAGTGGACAATGAAAATATTTGAGGTGGTACACAAACATCAAGTAAATTCCAAGTCAAACAAGAGGGCCATGGTCGCCCTGAATCACTCACCAGAAACAATTGTTTTTCAAATGAACTTGCTGAAGGAAAATCCAGCTCCACTTCAACTTACATGGCCAAAGTTCATTGTTACAGTACATCTGGCAAGTAAAGCAAGTTAACTCACGCTTTCTAATTTCCGTTTCATACTGGATTCTTTTAGAATGCTACGTGATCATCCATCAATTAGTTCAGTAGTAGAAGTTGTTTAATGCTTTTTCTTAATTTAGCTCTGTTGATCCCTAAAAGGGGCCAATTAAAATGATATGAGCAAATCATGTACGTGTGACTATCACAAGGATGCTACAAACCAAATTTGAAGTAATTCTGCCCAGCAGTTTTAGAGAAACTGAATGTTGACTACGGATGCTGGAGCATCGCCCTTTGATACTAATAGCTCACCCTGAACCTTTGGTTCTGATGAGCTCAAAAGGGGCATAATTCTGTCAAAATTCTTCATAGAGTTATTTCCTCCTGCCTTTAGGTTGGGGGCCTGATGGTGAAAGTGTGCAAAGTTTCAAAGCTATATGTAAATGGACTTTGAAAATATTTGAGGTGGTACGCAAACTTTAACACAAGTGGTTATGCCGACGCCCAGGTAACTAGGATAGCTCTATTTTTTCTTATTGTACAGTCAAGCTAAAAAGTATAAAAGAATATTCCTTGTGGAAAGAACAAAGCTGTCAAACTCAGCTTGACTAATACTGGGCGCAGTAAGGAAGACAAAACTATGAAAGAAACATCAATTATGATAAAAATATATTTCTTTTTATGACAAAAAGTTATAGTTGTTACCTTATATTCAAGGGGCAATAATTCTTGAAATAGTCACACTAGTTATGGACCTTGTCACACAACATGTGTGTAATGATAACAGTCAGAGATCGAAAATTCCACTTGTCTGCTGGTACACGTACCTGGCTGGTAATTACGAGTAGAATTTAAGAGAATTTGATGCAGGACGAGTAGAAAAACGTTGCCCTGCACATTGGAATAAGAAACTACTCATTCTGCAGGACGAGTGACTCTGAAAATATTTTTATGCCTGGATAAGAAATATGTATTAGAAGTTTGAAGAATATACCTTAAAATGTAAAGAAGTTATATTTCTTAAATAAAATTCTAAGTTCAAAGGGAGATCAATCTGAAAATATTGCTTCAAGAGTTATGACCCTTGTCACATAAAATCTGGTTGATGATAAGAAATATGTATTTGAAGTTTGAGGTAAATACCTTTAAAAGTAAAGAAAATATAGTAAAAAATAACATATTTCAAGTAAATAAATCTAAGTTAATGGGGAGATATCTCTTGCAATATTGGTACTAGTTATGAACCTTGTCACATAAGATGTGATTGATGATAAAGAACATATATTTTAAGTATGAAGTTGATCGCTTAAGAAGTAACAGTAAAAAATAATATTTTTTAAGGAAATTTATAAATTCAAGGGGAGTTAAATCTGAAAATACTGGTTAGAAAGTACTGGATAGAAGATGTGGTTGATGATAAGGAACATATTTTTGAAGTTGATACCTTCAAAAATGAAAAAGGATATAGTAAAAAATATTTTACTGCACCAAAACTTTAATCTGAAATCTGGACGCGATGCCAGGGCAAGTAGGACAGCTCTCCAAATACTTCCCATAGTCGAGCTTAAAAGGAATAACACTTGAAAAAAAATTAATTAATAACCCTTGAAGGAAGTGAAAAGTGTAAATGAATAATCCTAAGGCTTGAAGGAACAAAAAAGTTTAAGCAATATACACAAAATTTATTTCCAAAAGTGAATCATGATAATTAACAATATTTCTAGAACAATACATATTTTTTCTTTACAAAAAATACTTGACATGAGCACCCTAGTGAAAAAAAAGTCAAGTATATAATAATGTATAATAGAAAGAATGTAATGCAATATTCCATGGCTTGTTGCAAAAACTTTGTGGCTCTGCTCATATGTCATTAAGCAGGAAATACAAACCAAGCCCTTAGACCGTCACTATATAATTTATGACATGGCAGTGTACAGCTATATACGGCCTGTCATTCAGTTTTCTGATATGAAATTGTATTTGATAATTTAACAAACTGGTTATATACAATTTCTGTTATCAATTACATTAGAACAATTCATAGCTTGTGTAAAACAGGGGACAATTTTTACAGTAGTATATCCATTTGCTTAAAAAATTAAACCTACTTATAATAAGAGATTTTGTAATGGAACAATCATATCAAAAAAAGGACAAATTCATGCATGCTCTATGACTGTATCATGTAAGGGTATTGATTTTTTTTACTGTTTATCCTTTTCCCTAAATAACTATATTCCGACTCTCAATAAGATAGAAGAGTTCATGAACAGTTTTTTTTCCATATATTATACCCGAAATATTATGTAAATAAGCTCAATTCAAGGTTTATATATTCATACATGTAGTACAATACAAACCACATGCCTCCTGATTCCTGTAACTTATGCACATTATGCCTCAGAAATAAACTACCGGGTAATGTTTCATTCTTAAGAAAAGGAAAACATTTATTTTTTAACGTTTTGAATAATTTTTGAGAGAATTTTATATGCTTAACATCTGAAGAAAGTAACGTTGAATGTGAAATTATTTGTTATTAAAGTAGTGCAATGTAAACAAATCAGTATTTTGACTTCCATTCAAATACTTTATCACTATATTTTCATTAATTGTTGAAATGCAACAGAAGCAGAAGATGAATGTGATAATTGGAATTTGGTTAATGAATATCTTTTTGGAAACTATAACAGGACACAAAAAATTGAAAGCTTTTGAGAAATGAAAGTAAAAGCATTTCTGGAGAATAATGGGCCTTTATGAAAAATCAAAAATTGTCTGAATTTATATAAGAAGTGTCAAAGTATACATATTAAGTGATAAAGGCACTTTTTATTTATACAAATTACCCATAATAATTAACATATCCCAAATATGCAGATTTAATCATTGTACCATTTGTACTTGGCTAGTAATATAGTGATTAAGTTAATTACCATCTTACCATGCATAAAATATGGATCATTTCATTTTCTTGGATATTCACACATTGTTTTTTATATTTTTTCAAGATTTTTTATATATTTTGTTTATTCATCTGGAGGCATACAGCTTGTATATATAAGACAAAACAATTTAACTTGGAAATCCTTTTTAAAGACTTTAAACACATAATTTGCTCACAGTTATACTTCCTTTCCTATCTATATCATTCATATCAATTATAACTACCTAGTATTCTTTGAACACATTTTTGGCAATAAATCATACGGAACTGTTCTGTAAATTGGTATGCAGCGAGTCAGATATACTTAAATATAATTATCTAATGTCGTACCATATTCAGTCTATTTTTTAAAGAATATTTGAAAAATATAATTTATAAACCATTTATTTTTAATAATTTCACTGAAAATTCAATAAATTTTTACACTTGTACACCTGGTATATTTATTCATTTTTCAGACTTTTTCTGTCCAAGAGGACCCAGTCTATGACTGGTTCTTGTTTTACGACCTACACCAGGAAGTGATTGTAAGAGCAACTTTGTTCCATCTTTCTTTGTCTGAACTTTTTTTGATGCTGCTCGCGTAGAACGTGTCATGATGCCCCGCCCCTCCTCACCAGAGTCTCCGCCCTGCTCCCCTGTGATAGGACTGATTAATAAAATTTCTTCCCGCTCCTTGTATAACCTTTTAGTTCTGAAAAATTGGGGAAAAAAAAAATACTCAGTGTTTTTCTAATCATGATGAAATAAGAAAAAAAAAACACTTAAAGTTCCGAAATTTGGAAAGACAAATAACACAACTATCATCAATAATTGTCTCCCCAACTGCATGCAACTATCCTAGTGTTTATCGGGTACAAGTTGGCAGCATTGACAAACCATTAGACCATCACTGAGCTATCTTAACAGTTCCTTTTAATACAAAGAATTTGCTCAGTATTTAGTTTATACAAATTTATTTTAGTTTGACTATGCTTATTGAAACACTCTTTAAACTATTCCTTGAACAAACCAGTACTAAGCAATGACTGTAAAGTTTCTTGCTCAATGAAACAACATCTTGCCATTGACAGAATTTGAACCCACGCAGTCAACAATCCTTAGAATCACTTGGCCACGCCACCTCAGTATTTGAACTTGTCATGAATAAGTTCTTGTTACATGTATATATTTATCAAATTAGAAAGGAAGAACATCATAAGCCTGTTATCAAGATAATCAATGAAAATATTTAACACAACCTGTTTAATCTCATATATATTAGTCACTCAATAAGATCTATTACAGGACAAAATGCTCAGCTTTTCGCAAAGGCATCAAAGTATCTGAAAAAATATATATTACAGGAAACAATGAATTCATCAATGTCTGTTAGAAATCTTACTTTCTTTTTGACTTTTTCTCTGGTTTAGATTCTAGGTCGTCACTGACTTGTTTTATAGATGATGGTCGTCCTGGTGGTAGCAGTATCCCGGCCTCAGTTTGACTGGCCTCAATGTCCTCCTTCTGTATCACTGATCGTGTATGTGTGATGGGTGGAGAGAAGATGAATGATTTCACAGGGGTAAATGACTTTGCTACAGCTGAATCTGTCAAATGTAATATTAATTCATTATCATTAGCACTAAGGTAGAAATAATGTACAAAGTTTCATATTTCATTTATAGCTGATTTTATCATTTCTGTATTTTTATTTTATTTTTTTTGTTTTGTTTTTATTTTATTGAATTTGTCACAGACCACAGGTAAAATTGATCACTTCTGACAGGTAACAATTTAATCATATCTTTCATTAAAATCATCTTAACACATGCCATAATTCAAATCTAAGCTAAACTGACCAAATTTTATTGACTAAGCCAACTGAGAACACAGGCAGTATTTACATAAGCCTTGAAGAAGTTCGATATTCTCAAAATATACTGTACGAGTCCAATACAAAACAAGAATATATTAACATAACATACCTGCTGAATCCACTTGCATTGGATCAGAGAACTGAAAACTGTTGTTCTGTATATCAAATACATCTGCAATGAAACAACGATCATCTGTGAACAATGGTAACGCCTCTCAGCTAGCAATAATCAGGATTTTTTTAAAAACAAATATACACATATATAAACCGTGTATTGTTATCCTGGTCCTTGTGGTCGAAATACAAAATTTCAACTTCACATATTAGATAATTACAGTAAAACTTTCAAGAAATTTTTTTTTTTTATGCAACAAACTAACAATTATAAACATTCACCTTATAGCTGTATTAAAACTTACCAGTAATTACCAATTTCTCTGAATGTAACCAACTACTAATTCCATATGATTTCTTAATAAGAAAGAGTTGAGAGACCAAAGACAATTTGAGTCAATGTCTGAGATTATTTGTCATGGAGAAATTCACCATGCGGGAAAATTCAACCAGCAAATCATAAATGCTTATATGATGCTTTCAACATTGAACTGAGCAGTAGACATAAACCATATTCTTGGTCCAATAGAGTTTACCTTATAATTTACAAATTTCAATTACCTTTGCATTGTTTCTGATTAAGATTAAAATATAAGCAAGCTTTTCTTTCACCAAGAATACAATCAGGATCAAGTCTTTCTTACTTTGTGATTATCTATTTATGCAGCTTACATTAATGTCAGGAAAAAAAATGCTTTGATACATTATATATAAATGTTAAAAAAAAAAAACAACTAAAAATTTGGATTTAAACTATTTGAATAAAGATTTCAGAAATATAAATAAAATTAAACAGCAAATATATTTGATTCTAAGGGTCATTACTATGATCAAGATCATAATTGGCATTCTTAAAATTTTACATTTCAAACTGTAAGGTACATTCAAAGTCACAATTCATTTAGTACAAACTTTGGAAATAAGGGATAGAAACCTAGTAAATACCTGGCAAAGTAGAATGATCTCCCTTCTTCTTACTGACATCGTGACTTCTTGTATGAGATGCCGGGGAACCTTCCTCATCCTGGTTCCCTTTTTTACTCTCTACAAATTTTTCATTACCAGAGTCCTCTTGTTTAGTGTCTTTAATTTCTTTGGCTACATCTTGCAGCGCTTTTTTCCCTTTCCCTCTTCTAGAAGGTGTTTTCACTACATCCTGATTTTCAGTTTCATTTTTTGATTCTTCTGTTTTCTTTTTTGGTCGTCCTCTCCTTGAAGGAGTCAATGGCTCTATATTTTCTGATTTTAAATCACTTTTATTGTCTTCTTCAGGTAATTTTTCTTCTTTTTTTAAGTTATCACTACGACCTAAACTCTGTCTACGAGTTGGAGTCTTTACATTAATTTCATCAAAAGTCTCCGTTTCTCTACCCAAACTTTGACGACGAGTAGTCATTTTATTGCTTAAAGTCTCTTCACTTAACTTAAAATCACGTCCTAAACTTTGTCTACGAGCTGTAACCTTATCTTCCTTAATTTCTTCATCAATTTTAGTTTCACGACCAATACTTCTCCTTCGAGTTGGAGTTCTACTATTGTTTTCATTCTCATTTCCTTCACGACCTAAACTTTGTCTCCGTGTAGGAGTTTTAATAACATCATCATTTGAAACACTTTTTTTACAAGAACGTGATAATGTTTGTCTCCTGGTAGGTGTATTTTCTACATTTTCAATATCTTCAAACACTTCTGGAATTTCTGATCTTCCAAAACTATCTCTTCTTGATTCATCCATATTTTCATCATTCTTTCTTTCATTTCTTGGTGGTGTTTTCGGTTCCACTGTTGAAGTGATTTCAATAAAGGGATCTTCCTTTTTCCGCCGCCCTCTTGTAGGTGTTTTTTTAATTTGAGCACTTTTAACATCCTCAATGTCAGCTGAATGAGAATCTGATCTATTGTCATTCTTATTTTCATTTTGACGTTCCACGTCTTCAGCTTTCTTTTGACCTCGTCTAGGTGTTGTAGCTTTCTTTGATTTCTTTGCAGGTGAAGCACCAGTATCCATTACACCTATTCCTGATGTTCCAGGAACATTTTCATCATTATCACTGACTTCACTCCTACTGCCTGTTCTAGTCGACATTCTAGGTGGGGTAAACTCATCCTGTACTTTCTTCCTAGACCGTGTTGGTGTCCTAGGTGGTGAGGCTACAGGTTTATCTTTAATTTGAGTCATCTTATTTTCTGGTGATTCCATTCGTGCCTTCATCTCTGCTGAGATCTGTAGCAGAGACTCTTGTATCGCTTCTTTTGCATTTGGACTAAACGGCTTTGGTGAAATCGCAGACACAATTTCCAGTTTCTCAGGTTTCACTTCCTTTTTCACATTAGACCTATTGGAAGACCTTGTTGGTGTTACTGATTCCTGTTTAAGATCTCGTGTTGGTGTTGATTTTTCCTTTTTACCAAGCCTACGCGAGGATCTAGTTGGAGTTGAAGCTTCTGCTTGAGAATGTGGAGAAGACTCAGACTCTTTTTTCTGTCTACTTCTCGTAGAACGCCTTGGTGTTAAAACTTCTTGGGCTTCTTCCTCTTCATCACTGCCTATTTTCTTAGTCCTGCGTGTGGAGCGTGTTGGAGTTACTTGTCCTGTGGGAGGGGCAATGACCTCAGAATCTTTTTGCCTTGTTCTGCGAGTGGGAGTAACAGGTTCCTGTTCAATTTTAACAGGAGACAAATCAAATTTACGTCTTGTTCTTGTTGCCTTCCTTTGTTCTTTTACATCTTCAGATTCGACCTTGGCTCTTAACTGCACATCTTCTTCTTCAAGAACTGGTGACTCGCCAAACTTATCATTTATCATTGTCATTATGTTATCTATTAATGTGGATGAAGGATGTATTATGGTATCACTCGCAGTTGAATGTGACTGTAACCCATAATCAGAATCAGGGGGTGAATCTTTTGTCTTGACAACTGGACTTGTAAGCCGAAGTGGAGATGTTTCGTTTTCTGAAGGCACAGGTGAAATCTGAAGTATAAATCAAAGCACTGAAAGTACTGGAAATAGCAAAGCAATAAAAAACCATTTTTGAGAGTTGATACGTCAGTGAGGAGATGTAAACAATGAATACAATCTCAAGTTTTTGACCATATAATGCCTTGTTTTCAAATTTGGTTTTAGTCACAAGAAAACACATTGACTACAAATTAAAATCATATTTCAAAGTCTATTCTATTGTTTGTTAATTTTTCTGGATTTTAACAAATTTTTTCATCATATCTCGGCAGATGGTACACCAAACTGGTTTTTCTGGATAATTAACTAGTAATTACCAATTTCTCTGCAAGTGACTGACAACTTCTCTGAATTAGCTATTTTATCGAAACATAACAGTACTTATATTAACTTTTTGTATAAATTATAAACTCAAATATAATCTTAAATTCTATATTCTTTCAATATAAACATTCTTGTTCTGCCTTGTTGAGAATGATACCAATTTTGAAATGTGTTGCAAGCTTCTTTGACTAAAAATGACAATTCTCCTGTTGAAAAGCAGAAAATCTACCTTGACAATAAAAACTTGGAATTTCTCAAGTCTGAAACACATCCTGACACGATTACTGTATATTCTAACTATGGATGCATCCAAATTTCACACAATAATGTTTTTTGTTTTGGGTTTTTTTTGTATTCCAAACATAAAACTAAGGATAGAATATAATATATCAATCACTCTTACTAATATTTGACCATCTTTGTCTATTACCCACACATATATTAACCTTTTGAGCCCTACCCACAATTATAGCTTAAATCATCAGTTTAGGCTTATACAGTTACCTGCTCAATATCAGCAAACACATCATCTATAACTACAATATACTAAAGGATTCCTCAAAATCAAAAAAAAGATATGTCAATTGACCCTTAACCTGCTGAATTTCTTAAAACTGACTTGATCACTTTCAATTTTTTCGGAACTGTCCCATTATCAATTTTAGGTGATATAATTTTTGATCAAGTCAGCAAATGTAACCAGGCTCTATACTGGCAGTCAAGGCTGGTCACCCTGGATTCAAGCAGATAAACAGTTACAATATAGAGATACAACAATGAAATTCTTCCTACCTGGTCTTCACTGTCACTTTTAGGTGCTAGTGGTGGTTCCAAATGACGGACTGGTTCAGGAGGTACACTAAATTCTTCCTCAACTTCCTGTTTGATAGACTGATTAGCTAATGATGCTTCATCAGCACTGGAAGATACAGTCTCCACAGTCTCCATTTCTTCAATCTCAGCTGGAGCATTAATCTCCTCATACTGTTCAAATATTTCTGTAGTTTTCTTTACATCTATGACATCCATTTTGTCTTCAACTTTTTCTGACTGGTCTACCTCCATTTCATCTTCCTCTGTTAAGTCAATATGAACATTCTGTGAACCAGTTTTGTCAAAATCATTTTCTTCCTGAGACCCAGTCTGGGCATGCTCAGTGGATGTTATTTCTGACTGAGCAGGCTCAGAAGAAGTGAATTTAGAAACTGGTGATTTGGAGACTTTGACTGTAGGTGAAGATGGAAGTTTTGTTGGAGATTTTGAAGGACTAACAGATTCTGGAGACTGTTGTGAAGCAATCACTTCTCTCACTGTTGCTACAGAAGAGATTGAAATGTCTCCGGACACAGATGAGGCAATACCTGATGTGTAACTCTCATCCATTTCTTCAACTTCCTCTACAATGATAAAAAATACAAAATATTTATGTGTTAATTTTGTTTGTTACAGCTCATTTTTTATGAATTGTAAGCAAGTGTACGACGAAACAGTGACCTCTCAATAAAATAATGTTTCAAGCTTCAAACTTAAAATTACTACAACATGAGGGACATTTAAATACTCAATAGTTTCATGAAGTGGACATCAAGCATGCTAAAATACACATTTTTAAACAATCTGTTAATGAAACATAGAACATCATCTAACACAGGGCAATCTTAACAGAAATCAGCTATGAAAACTTTGGTGCTTTTAACAGTAGAAAGACAGTAAGAAACAGAACATTAACTAATTTACCATCACTGATATTCTCGTCAGACTGTTCCAAGTTTGATACCACATAATCAACCATATCAGTTTGTATGTCAACTTTATTAACTTGTGATCCATCTTCTTCTGCTGAATGAACCTCAGCTTCTGACTGGTCTTTTGGTGGCGAATGGAGAGGCCTTCTGTGTAACTGATCAAGATTTTCAGAAAATTTGGGAGACTTTTCACTGCTACAAGATACAAAAGTCAACACAAATTGAATAAATAAATAAATCCAGACCATGGTTGTAAGCTTATGTATTTACCGAAAAAGTTGTTTTAATAATTATGTCACTTTCTAAATATATTGACTCTCAGGCAGCCAGCAGACCAAGAATTTTACTAGAATTCACATTGCTACAGTCATATGTTGACTTCACTGCTGACCTATAGGAGGCAGACCTCAGTTGTCCATTTGTGCATTATTTCAGACATATACCGCCTCCGTGGTCGAGGGGTTAGAGTCGATGACTTCTAATCCAGTTACCCCTCTGGCGTGGGTTCGATCCCCGGGAGATGCTTTGGTAGTTTAGCATGGAGGAGGGTAGTCTAGTACTGGTGTAACTCTCCAGGAACAATGGTTAGGAAACTACCCGCCTATATGACTGAAATACTGTTGGGAAAAGGCTTAAACAAAAAAAATTTCAGACATGAGCAGGCATACACGTGGAGGTGTCTACTTAGAAATATGCTTAACCTAATAGAACTAAATCACTTATATACAACACAAGTACCTCAATTTATGGCCAAACAAAAAACTAACAGAACATCAATTTTGCATCAATTATATGAAGCAGGCAATAAAACCAGTGCTTCAAATTGGCAGCAGTTAAGTGCACTTCTTTCATTTAATGGTAATAACAAGAAGTACCATCAATTATCACGACACAAAAAGACAACTTACCTTTCTGGAGTAGGGCTCCTGTCTCTGATAGATCTTGGACTAGATTGTGTTGGTGATTTCGGTGAACTTTGTTTGGATGATCCCAGTAATATCGAGGTTTCTTTTAATGAAAATCGGAGTTGTTTAGGAGTAGACATTGGCTGTAGTTTAGAAGCTGACTTGTCCATGAATGAGACAGATTTGGGAGTTGTTGGCTGTGACAGACGGCTTTGTATAGGTGTGACCGGGGACGACGTCTCTGCTGACGAGGGCTCCAAGAAAGAAACTGACCTGTAAATCATTTTTACATTTAAAATACAGTAATAAATATATTCATGTTGTTTATATTTCAAAACAAACATATTTTAGAAAGATCACTTTTACATTTGTGAAAGTTGGAAATTTTAAAAATCCCGAAAATCCTGAATTTAGCAGTTTTTCTATAGTTTCATATATGAAATAGAAGGCTTTCAGGAGACTGAAAATCCTGAACTTCAGGAATAATCCTGAAAACTTTCATCCATGCTTTTATAACAGAAAAATAATTAGTATAATACAGGCAGTCACTCAAAATTCATTTCATGCCTAATATTTAAATGCTAACATATATAATGATAACCTTTACAGATTATTATTATTATTATCATTATCTTGTAGTGTCGTCTATATGACAGACAAGACATAATCACATTTATGTTACAAAAATTTCAGGCAAATTGCCCATGCATCTGAATAATAACATTTCTATCTTCTGTATTATCTGACCAAAACAACAACAACAACAAACTTATATTCTCATAATAGAAACAGACTAACTTTGGGGAAGACGGCTGTGACTTTGATAGACTTCTATCCCCTGCTATATGGCGAGGTATACTGGACAAAGGTGTGGTGCCAGCACCATATCCAAGCTTCCTTGGTACCTTCTTAGCGCTTCCTTCAAGTTCTGAAAACAAATTGCATCTCAATTTATTTGGAGAGTTTTAGACATCTACCTGTAAATCATCTTCATTGTCCAAGTAACATTAGCTTTGGAAGCAATGTTTTGCATGAAATCAATCCTAGTGGACGCAATTTTCAACTTAGCCAAGTTTATCACTTTTTCATTTACAAATGACAAAACAAAAATCTATCATTTTTACATTCTCTTCTTTTTATTTTCATTGCTATTCACATTTAAGCTTTATGTAAGTAATTATATAAAAAAATATCTACTAATACAACAACATATGTTTATTTATGGTTATCATCATGTAATGTATGTTATATAAAAATAATAATTTAAAAATGCATGTATTATGTAAAGAATGTATACATAAACAGGCCTTAAACTTAGTTACAAATGAAAAACAAAGGAAAAAAATCAGATATTAAGTATGCATTGTCATTTTAATTACCGACCTCATCACAAACATTATCTAACCATTTGTCTGTCTAGTTTTATGCGGATATTTTTTACCTTGTGAATTCGGTGTGACATTGGAACTATGTGGACTTGGTGAGGTTGTAGCTATCATATTACGGACTTTAAGAATAGATTGCGGGGTGACTGCACTGTTTGTTGACATCCTCTGTTTCTTTGGTGTCACTCTCTTCACTGATGGTGTCTGTAACATCGACATACAACTTGCTGAGAAAAATCTACTTCCCCTAGAAAAATAAATCCATAAAACTGCTTCTTTAAAATAACAAGTAATTTTATACCTTCAAGAAATACAGCTTTTTAATTCTTTCTTTTTTATCATATAACATCATATACAGGTGTTATGCTTTCAAAATGACTAAAGTTTCTGTATATACTTTCATAATAGGGATCCTTCTATGGAAAACACGATTTATTACAATGATTATGAAACAACATGATCTTTGTATATTTCATTATAATTCCACAAAGCAGTTAAACATTACTAACATGCTGACACAGTGTTGGGTGGGCAGAGATGTACTTTCTCACTTATTACCTTTAACAATAAAAGCAAAGATTGTAAAACAAGTCTTTTATTGAATAAGGCCTTAATTGGAAGAAAAGCTACCAGTAGGAAAGCTGGTTGACTTCTTTTTATCAGATGATATAAATGGAACGCCATCAAATTTATGCCATCAGTTACCATCAGGTAGCAATCTAAGTTATTAAGCTAGAAACATTGTAAGAAATTAGATGTACAATTTTTACCTATTATCTGCTCTAGTAGGGGTATCACAGCTAAACACATTGAGTGATTTATTCAGTACTAGTCCAGCACTGCCACTAACATTACCAGCTGATTCAGGATACAATGTAGCTGGTGTGTCCCTGAAAAATATACAGACACAATAATGATAACTCAACACTACACAGACACAATAATGATAACTTAACACTACATCTGTATTACTTAGACAACACAAAATGCAATTGTACCGGATATATGAAATCTAATCCTGCAGAACACTTCATAATCACCATTACAATATGTTTCCGGCATTTTTAATTTATCGTAAAATTCCATTTTAACGCCCCCGGGGGAAGTAACATTTTTTAAAAGAGGGGCATTTACTAAAGATATAAAAAAATAAATAAATAAATAGACAAGATCAACAAGGAAAGGCGTAATGAAAATGATTGTCTTTTCTCTCTCTTCAAATGATGTAAAAAAAATCCAAGCAAGTCCTATTTAAACACATTATCATCCTGTCAACCCATGATACGCATGATTTACGTTTAATCGGGATTTTACGGTATATGTTTTTTTTGTGTGCAGCAGTCTGCGACACAAAAGTTTCTTAACCTCTAGATTTCCTCAAGAAATTCCAATTAATTATTTTCAGTCACTGTTTTCTTTTTAAGGCAAACAAACTCTATTACATGAGGACTCTATGTTGCTTTTTACAAAATGGTTTAAATGTTGACTTCTGCTTAAGCCAATGCTAGGAGGAATATACTGTAGACACAGCTGTCCATGGAACCAAGCTACAACATTGTCAATTTGGATGTCTTTATCAAAATGGTTTCCTTTTGTTTTACTATATATGGTCTTTATTATATAGTGAAAGAGGATTTGAGTCTTACCGTAAAGACCTCCTGGCAGGGGTGACAGGGGTACAGATAAATGGCCCTACAGATCTGTCCAGTGCTTCATTCCTATACAAGATAAAATGCTCATAAAGTAAAGTTATATTTCATTACATCATTTATTTAATATTCAATTTTAGCAGGTAATGCTAAACATATATTCAATGATGTCAACAACCCCAACTTCGTGGCCACTTAGAATTAAAGTATTAAAGTCAATGACCCTAACTTCAAGGTCAGTGAGAATTAAAGTCTATGACCATAACTCAAAAAGTCACAGAAAGTTATAGTCAATGTCCATAACTTGTAGAATATAGAATCTGAGACAATTTAAGATACTGACAATAAATCCACAGCCACACAGAATTAATCCATGTCCAGATGACAGAAATATTGAAATAATCTAAACATCAAAAATATTGAAATAATCCAAACATCAGAAACATTGAAATAATCCATTCTTTTATGTTGAAATTGTAATACTATTTTCTTAACTAAATGAACAGGTTTACATATAAACAGTAAAACAGATCATACTGTGGTTGTTCTGTCTCGATTTCATCCAATTTCTCCATGATAGTCATGATAAAAGCTGACTGGGACATCGCTCGAGCTTTGTTCTTTGTGACTTTTGTTGACAGTGGGGTGGGACGTCGTACTGTAAATATAACTTATTGTTTAACACTAATCTACACAGTCAACACAAAGTCACCATCAGAAAAAAAAAATGTTTTTTCATGAAAATTAATGATGATACTTGATCATTAAAATGAAATATTTATCAACAAATGACAAATGTTCAAAGCAAGCAGCAGCATTCAATTAGACATCAAAATGAAATATTTACTATCAAATGTATGAAAGACTTTTACATCACAATGGTTCAGGACTTTGAAAATGTGAAATTACAACACATTTAAATGTATTTAGAAAACAATGTTAAAATACATAGAAATGCAAACAATTTTTATAAATATATTCTTCCCGTTCTTACATTTTCCATTACAAACATTTTTTCAATATAGAAATGTTTATTTAGTTTTAAAGTTTATTTAATATTGCATTACCTTTGATCTCATATTTGTAAATCAAAAACCACCTAATTCTGAAGTTTGTTGTGCTACCACTTACAATTTATTATCCTATATTCAAGCATTTTCCAAGCTGCCTTCAAGATATTAACTAATGTTAACATCTGATGTAAATTTCAGGAATTTTATTATCAAATGTTAAATTAAGAGGCAAACCATGAGAAAAGTATTCAGACTGTATAATTTTATATGTCCCTCCAGGCACTACCCTCGTGCCACAAGTCTGTCATTTGTATCCAATATATAAGTATTCATACAGAATTGACTTTTGTATGACTTTTATTATAATAACAACTATATAAACTATTAACCAACCTTCTCGTCTCCACTGTATATTTTTCTTTGGTACATGCAGTTGTTCCAGCATCAATCGTCGTTGTACTAGAGGTAGGAGGCTGGCATAGCTATCAACAATGGCATTACGTGCAGCTGCCCGCTCCCGCGCCTTGGCATTGGCCTCTGTCTGTAGGGGTAATATTATTTCACAAATTAAACATGGAGTTATAAGCTCAATACTGACTTCAACTTCTAGGGGTAACTTGAAGTAATTTGATAATTTTTAAAATCATGAAACATTGTCTGTGTTGAAAAATCATGTAAACTTATTTCAAGGATATCAAAATGATTGGTTAAATTTTATATAAAAAATCTAGACATGTATGTTATTATAGCTTATAAAACTTGTAAAGATGTAAATTATGTCCAAACATAAACTTTATAATATAAAACATATCATCTGCATATACATAACATTAAAATACTGCAAACTTGAATGATTTTAGTCTCTGACTGTATTATAGTTCAGAGGTGTGGAGTAGGTTTGAAATTATGAGAGTTTTCTTTGTAATAGTACATACAGTAACTCATTACCAACTTCAATATGTCTATACTTACCATTATAGAATGTTTTAGTTTCTCATTCAACTGTATAGCCTCAACAAATCTCGCCCTCTGTAGGTAATGCATGACCAGTAACTCTTGTGAATGAGGCTCCGAACTGGCCAGCAGATAGTCTACCAGAATTGTCTCCTCCTCGTTGCTCAATGGTAACTGTAGCAACCGACCTAGAGTCTTTGCTGAGAATAAAAACAAATATAAAATTCTTACATGAAATAATCTCAAAATAAATGAAATAATTCATTTTATAATGTAAAATTATATTTGAGTAATAATTCCTTTGTGGTTCAGATGATAAAATAACAAATTTTAAAATAAGCATCAACTAATTCAACATTCAAGATTTTCAAATTTCTACAATTGACTGGTTTTAAAAATTGTCCTTAAAGATGTAGTTGTGTGCATTTATTTTCCGTGCAACAACATGTCAACTTTTCAATATAAATCAAAAGTTGAGGATAATGAAAAATTGTTTTTAGGCATAAGATCAGCTGGATTATTTATTAGCTACTTACTTTGTTGGCATCCGAGGAAGAGATGTGATAGTAAATCATTCATGTTGTTCTTGTCTCTACAAACTCTCTGATATGTCAAAGCCTCCGCAGTTAATCTGAAAATACCAATACTTTACTGAAAATAGTTTAGTTTGTTAAGTTGCATGGGCTTGAGATATCAAAATGCCAAATTTGTGTAAACAGTTCAGTCTGATTAGTATATATATTACACATGAAGAGTGGCTTGACTTTACTGGTGACAAAATGTATGTCACAGTTGATGCAAATGATTTGAGAGTTTAACGTTCCTTTTGTAACAGCAATCCAAGAAGTTAACAAAAATTATTGCCATCAGCATGCTTGAAAATCTAAGAGTCTTGTTAAAGTGGCATGGCAGTAACAATTACACAGATTGTAAGAGGCAGACCTGGGGTAATCATCAATCGTAATCATCGATTTTTTAATTGATTACATGATTACACTGTAATCATCATGTAATTGATTACCTTGCTCAAAATTGATTACATTAATTGTAATTAATCAATTACAGCTTAAATTCAGTCTGTAATTATGATTACAATTTGATTGATGTTGATTACTTTCAAATTTTACATAAAACTATTGAAATTCAAAATATTTATTTCACATGTTACAGTTGAACTTATATTTCTTTATAATGATCTTTGATCACAAATTGTAGAGTGTAAATTGATTTTTATTGAATATTCATTATTGTTGATATCTATTGATATCCATATTTGAAGTAAATAATAGAAATTGTCATAATAAACAATGATTGTCCATAATGGTAGTAAAATATCAAGTGCGATGTTAATAAGACATCACTCACAATGCAGAAATAAGTTTAAATCCATACAGTTAACCAAATTCTAACTGAAAGATAGACATCATTGTTTGGCTGGTATTCCAACCAAAATGTCATATCATTGGATTAATGATGTCTTTGAATTTCCTAAAGAGACATCTGGAAATGTGACAGCACCTTGCAAATTGTGCCCTAGGAATATAAATGGAAACACTTAGTCACATTCAAATTCCATTATCCACATAAAGGTAACTATGTTAAATTTTGTTTCACATATTTTGGTTAAACCATGTTTTAAAAAGTTTCAAACAATGTAGATAACTTCTTTACTTTGTATATTCTAGAGTTTATGTCAGATGCATATTACCATATTTTAATTATATGCAACAGTTAGGTATTTTGTTAGGTGATAGACAATGTGTCTAAATTATAATGAATACTGATGTACCATTGAAGTGTTTGTAAGAAATTGATACTTTGTAAAGCCTATTGTCTCTGAATTCCCATACAAAAATTTATTGTTTTCACACCTGTTTTAACACCTGTATACAGCATACTGTACAATTGACACTTATCAAAATTTCTGTGGCAGAGAGAGTTTATTATGAAACCTACACCAAGAAGACCGAGGACCATTCCTGCATCATCAGCCCCTGTAGAGCATTTGTTTAGTGTTGCGGGTAAAATTTTCTGTCCTGATAGATGCAGTCTGACTGACAGACGGTTTCATGAACTTATGATGCTAAAGTGCAATGCTAAAATATGATAAAGTGATGTGACAGTAACTAAAAGTGTGTTAAATTGATGACTGTTGATGAGCTGGAAATCCTTTGTTTATATAATGTATATATTGTATATATTAAAAAGCATTAAGAAACTTTTGTTTATAGTTATACATTGAATGTAATCAATTATCAATCAATTACTTTCTTAAAGTAATTGTAATTTAATTGATTACAGAGACAAGTCTGAGTAATCAATTGTAATCAATTACAATAAAATCTGAAAGTAATTGTAATTAAATCAATTACTGATCAATGTAATCATCCCCAGGTCTGGTAAGAGGATAAACATTTATCTATAGGTGAAAATATGTCTGACTGTATACATTGTAAGGAACTTGGATACAAGACAATCAAAAGTCACACACTTGAATATCAAAACTTCATAGAAAAGCAAGATAAGATACTTATAAAGCTTCAAACTTTGTCAGCTAAAAAACTATGCAGAACATCAAATAACCTGTGCCTATACAACACAGCGGACCCTACCGTCCCTCTATATAAAAATGCTTAAGTTTTGTTAACTTTCTATAAAGGAACGGTGTGTAAAATTACTTATTTTATCATAGTCAAGGTTCTGTACTTCAGGATTACTGTTCTACAATAAAACTAATACACATGTTCACAATATTTTATCTGACTTAGTACTTATGTAATTTTCTGTCAAGTAATTAAGAAACCATGCATTCCACAGAATCTCTAGGATGTATGTTGACATCACAAAGACAAATTTATATGCTCAAAAGTGGGGGGCACAAAAAGTACACTTTATTCATTTAATATACAGAGCCCAGGAAATAGTGCTTCTGTGTTTAAAACAAATAACTTAACAGTCTTTCTTAATTGACAACTTGTACTTACTCATTAGCCAGTAGTACTGTGAGTTTCAGTTTCACCTCTTCCGGTGTGGTGAGAGCAGGCTGTACACTTGTGATGTACCTGAGAGCCATCTTGGCATCACCTTGGTACAATAACGCTTTAATAATCCGCTTATGCTGCCATCTAGCAAATTCAGCTCTCACCATTGGATCTAACATTAAACTTAATGCTTCCTACAAAACATAAAATAAAACTGATAATATTATATTTCATTACATTTTCTGTAGCATAATGTTCATAATGGTACCAAATCTTTTTAACTAATTATCTGAATTACTTTGTAAGGCTGTAAATCAGACACTGGTCATCTAAGGTAGAATGACAACCTGTTAAAGCTACTGCAAAAAGGCCAAAGATGCCCTTCATATATTATTTAGGCAGAGTAAGTGACTAGGTAGAAGTGATAACTTTTGAGAATGACTGCTCTCAAAGTTTCTTCACAGAAATATCAAATTTTCATCTAAGGGACTGAGCTTCAGACAATCAGTATGGAATCAAGATAATTAAAATACATTTCATAATGCAGCCTATAAAGATTTCGTAATGCAGCCTATAAATATTCATTTTAAAGAGAAGCCAAATGTATGGGGAAAAAATCAGGCTTCTTTCCTATACTCTTTAATAACAATATGTGAGTGATTACTTTCATATTAAGTAGCACTTAAAAGGCACAAAATAAGGCACAAAATCAGGATATGTTCATTTAGATGAGAAAATTAAACATGTCTTATAAAAGAGCAGAACATACCCAATGCAAAGCAACAATGTCATTAAGTCAAATTCCTCAAAAGCTTAATAACTTTTTAAAAGAGATTACTAAGTTTTTTCATGTTTAATGTTTCTATGTACAAATAATATATAAAACTTTAAGAAAATTAAGTTCACCTCAAAATCCCTGTGATCAAGCAACCAGAATGCCTGCATTAATTTCACCAGAGTTTGAGGAAGGTTGAATCTACGAGCAAAGCCACTGACTTTCTCAGAGAACTGAAATTAAAGTTTTACAAAACTAAAGAATGTTTCAAATTGTAAATATGATTCAGTAAATTGGTAAAACAATTCTTGCCAGAATTCTTTCAGGCATATATAGTCTATAGAAAAATAAGAATTGATTTTTTGATTCTTTTTTTCTTTGAGATTTTGTTTTTGCTATTACAGTTTCAACATCATTCTAAATTTAAGCTGAACAGCTAATACCTGTACATTTGTATATATTTCATCTGAATACAGCAAATTCCCTCTATTAAGACCAATTACTGGACTGACTAAAAGTGGTCTAAATAGTGAACTGGTCTTAATAGTGAATAAGCCACTTTTAGAACTTGTGCAGTCCAACTAAACTAAATGTTTATGTACTCATGCCTAAGACATTGATATAGGTTTTTTAACTTTCTTTAGATTTTAAACTTTTAAATATAATTATATTAATAATAATATATTTTCATGATACAATTGTTGATAGACTAAGCAAGGAATGATTTAAAGTTTCATAAGAATGCAAACTAAAAGAAGACTGAGGTTTCAACATTTTTTCCCCAAAAATATATAAAGTCCTTGTTTAGGTGCATAATTTCATTTGTTCAATTTTATAATATTTAGCAGACCAACAGACTCATTAAACCATTAATTGCATATCTATAAAGTCCAACAATCCTTTGTGAAATTAGCGAGTTTTCACATACTTTCCATCAACAAATAAATTAAAATGCAATTGAACGCCTGTTAATTACCGACAAAATTAGTTGAATCATGCTGCCGCTAGAATGCTAGACAGATAATGACCTCGTTTGACTGGTGTATTTGTTTACGGCAGAGAAAAGATTCTGTCAATGGGGCAATAAACACATTGTGTTAGGTGGTCATTATGTTGCATAATTGGTCGTTATACAGGTTAATGATTTAATAAGAAATACACACACATGTCTGACAGAAGTGGTCGTTATGCCGGATTAGAGACGTGGTCGATATACTGATCATTTTTCGCAATGAATAAAGAAGGCAATTATTTTGTACTTTTGAAAAGTGCCCTTAATAGCGGTGTGGTCCTATTTGTGGCGTGGTCGTTAGGTGGTATTTTATGATACTGTCATTCTTATAGCATTAGGTATTTCCAAACTATATGAAATTCTTGCAGCCTTACATGTATAATCAATGACAATTCTACAATATAATGGTAGATCAGTAACTTACAGTTTCATTTTCATCTGAGCTGTCGACAGATACCAGATCTAGAAGTAGGTATAGAACTAGACATTGTTTCGACAGCATATCACAGTTCTCCAGAAGGTATGATGATAACAGTGCCTGAAAAATAAAACAGAAGATAACTTTACTAATGATTTTATACTTTATATTATGTCTGACCATCAAATTCTGTGGAATTTGTTTAGCAAAAAAAAAATTCAATCTCTTTTGTATGTGTAACCATGAATAAATAGAGAGCTATATTAATGCTACTGGATTCTGTATCAGTAATAACCTGTTTCTTCCACAGTAAATCAATTGCCGAAATCTACCGACAGTTAAAAACTCAACAGTAATGGAACAAGAACTGTCGGAGGACAGTAACGCTCGACTATTCGAAAATTTGTCACAAGGGTGTTTCATTGAGTATAATAATGCTTACCTATATGAATATATAAAATTGTCCGAAAAGGTACAAACCCTTCAAGTTTCAATACATTCCCTTCAGTAGTTATGGAGATACAAGCTTTCACACAAAAACTTAGCCAAGAATTTATGAATCGAAAAAGGGGCAAAATTATGCGAAAAAGTAAATCCAAGTTATGGGACTTGTGCCAATCATCTTAGATAATCACAGACAACAAGAGTGTGAAGTTTCAATCCATTCCCTTCAATAGTTATGGAGATACCAGCTTACACGCAAAAACTTAACCAAGAATTTCTAAGTCAAAAAAGGGGCATAATTATGTAAAAAAGCAAATCCAAGTTATGGGACTTGTGCCAATCATCTTAGATAATCACAGACAACAAGAGTGTGAAGTTTCAATCCATTCCCTTCAATAGTTATGGAGATACCAGCTTACACGCAAAAACTTAACCAAGAATTTCTAAGTCGAAAAAGGGGCATAATTATGTAAAAAAGCAAATCAGAGTTATGGGACTTGTGTCAATCATCTTAGAAAATCACAGAGAACAAGAGTGTGTGAAGTTTCAATCCATTCCCTTCATTAGTTATGGAGATACCAGCTTACACGCAAAAACTTAACCAAAAATTTCTAAGTCGAAAAAGGGGCATTATTATGTAAAAAAGCAAATCAGAGTTATGGGACTTGTGCCAATTATCTAAGATAATCACAGAGAACAAGTGTGTGAAGTTTCAATCAATTCCCTTCAGTAGTTATGGAGATACCAGCTTACACGCAAAAACTTAACCAAGAATTTCTAAGTCGAAAAAGGGGCTATATTATTATGTAAAAAAGCAAATCAGAGTTATGGGACTTGTGCCAATCATCTTAGATAATCACAGACAATAAGTGTGTGAAGTTTCAATCCATTCCCTTCATTAGTTATGGAGATACAAGCTTACACGCAAAAACTTAACCAAGAATTTCTAAGTCTAAAAAGGGGCATTATTATTATGTAAAAAAGCAAATCAGAGTTATGGGACTTGTGCCAATCATCTTAGATAATCACAGAGAACAAGTGTGTGAAGTTTCAATCCATTCCCTTCAGTAGTTATGGAGATACCAGCTTACATACAAAAACTTAACCAAGAATTTCTAAGTCGAAAAAGGGGCATAATTATATAAAAAAAGCAAATCAAAGTTATGGGACTTATGCCAATCATCTTAGATAATCACAGAGAACAAGTGTGTGAAGTTTCAATCCATTCCCTTCAGTAGTTATGGAGATACCAGCTTACATACAAAAACTTAACCAAGAATTTGTAAGTCGAAAAAGGGGCATAATTATGTAAAAAAGCAAATCAGAGTTATGGGACTTGGGCCAATCATCTAAGATAATCACAGAGAACAAGTGTGTGAAGTTTCAATCCATTCCCTTCAGTAGTTATGGAGATACCAGCTTACATACAAAAACTTAACCACAGGGACGCAGACGCCGACAAATGGGTGACTGCATTAGCTCGATTATTCTGCGAATAGTCAAGCTAAAAACATATATATAGGTCCTAGCCCTACAACTTATGCACAAAACATATGCAGACCCCTCCTAACAAGCCTAGCATGTAGGTGTAACATGAATATGGTAAGTTAATTTCATGGCAACTATAATCTCATTAATAATTAAGAAAAGGGTCAGCCATTCCAGCTTTCATAAAAATTCTGCTGCAACAATCTACACTGTAACATAAACCACAAAATTCAAACAGAATGAATTATCAAAGCAAGTAGATTTGTCAAACTGACTTAAATGACTTACTGAGAAAATGTTGGCTAATAAATGGCTTTTGCCAAGATTACAAACCTTAACCAAACTTTTTTACTTTAAGGTGTCTGTAAGCTACGCTGTTCTATTTCTAAAGATTAAAACCCCGAACACCTACAAGAACAGTCCAAAATATAAAGAAGAACTTTTTCATTTCTTAATAAATATATTTAACTAAGAATGATCAAAACTGAACTTACATGTATGCTAGGTGGAGGGTACAGCCCAGTACCACCTTCTCTCTCCCACATCTCCTGTACTCCCATTGTCTCCACCAGTCCGTCAATCATTAACATGTTAGTCTCATCTACATCACTAAATACGTAAAGCAAAGTTCACAATTACAGAACTTAAATAATGCCAGACCTATCTGACTGACACTCTATCAAAATATCAAGTCAAAAAACATATAGCCATAAGAGTTTCTTAGTTTCTTTTTAAATGATATAGCTTTACAGGTTTCAGAAGGAAAAGGAAATATGGGAGAAGGGATATAGGCAGATAACAGACCATCATGTTATTTTTTTCCTTCTCAACTTTATGTATGTAAACATTTTGTTCAACAAAATTTTGCATTGATACAGGCATGTGGTTAATGAAAAGTGAAGGAAGTTTGCCAATTAACAAGAAAGCCCCATTTCACTGACTTGCATAATATATAATAATATATCATTGACATTTAACAACTTCCTGTACCATAATAAATCTTAACAATAGTACCATTTGTCATAAAAAAAATCTAACACAAATGCTCAGTCCCTGATTGTAAAATATTATATCACACAAAATTCAGCAACTTGCTCCACTTGACTATGAAATACTTTAATCAAATTTCATCTAACTTCCACTCCCAGACTTTGCAATAAAGTCACAACTTTCAACAACTTCTTTTGACTATGTAGTAAATATCTCAAATTTCAACAACTTTTAATTGCATAGAATGTTTAAAATTTCAATATTGCAGGGACTACCTTGGACTGAAAATTTAGGGAGAAGTGACTTCTCCCTTCAAGGAAAAATAGGGAGAAGTTTTGAAATTTAGGGAGAAGTGATCATCAAATCATTGGATTTTTTTTTCTAATTTAATTTCACAAAATATACATGTACACCTTTATATGTACATGCATATAAAATATACATGTGTATGGCATGGAAAATAAACAAATGTGTATTTGAAAATCGCTCTGATGATATTTAATGAAGTACTAGTTGCATTTGATTTACATCAACACAACATTTTTTAATTCTTTTTTTTAGGTTCAACAGTTTCTGACTCTAACTTTTAAATGCAATTTATTAAAAAGAAAAGTTCTTTAATTCATAATAATTATCCAAATTCTATCAACTTACATTAGTTTTAATGATGAATATTACTATCATAAATGTAATGGTGATAACAAACGTATATGGGATATTGTAAATCAAACAGTACATATAGGGGAACTAGTAAATCAAACAGGACATATAGGGGGAATTGTAAATCAAACAGGACATATAGGAGAACTAGTAAATCAAACAGGACATATAGGGGAAATAGTAAATCAAACAGGACATATAGGAGAACTAGAAATGTGTCATCATGCCATGGATGCCCCCGCATGCAGCCAAAATTTCAGATGTTATAATATTTAGTTCCAAATTTGTTTGCACAAATTATTTTTTTCATTTTAAGTTCAAAGCCCTTAAAACTTTTCAATGTTAACACAAACCATTTCCATACAATGTTCAAGGCACTGAAATTATTCTGTCTTAACCTTTTGAAAATATCATATTTCATATTTGTAGCCAAAATAATGGCTACATACATTTACACAAAAGTATTAGTGCTGAAACTGAAAGTTGAAAATTTTTCCAACATTCAAGAAAGATAAGTTTGTCCAAAATCATTGAACCACGACCAAATTCAAACTTAAACTGCTTATTCCTAAGATGTATCTATATTATTTTCAAAGTAAAAGGGACATAACTCTGCCAAAAAATCATCAAACCATGACCAAATTCCAACTTGACCTGCCCATTCCTTTGACATATCCATATGTCAAATTTGAGTTGAATATGTAACACTGTTGGGTAGATAATGAACAGAAACTGTAAATTTCATATTATTTTCAAAGTGAAAGGGGCATTACTCTGCCAAAAATCATTGAACCATGACCAAATTCAAACTTGGCCTGTATTTTCTCATGACATATCCATATGTCAAGTTTGAGTTGAATGTGTTGTACCGTTAGGGAGATAATGAATGGAAACGGAAAATTTCATATTATTTTCAAAGTGAAAGGTGCATAACTCTGCCAAAAATCATTGAACCATGACCAAATTTGAACTTGACCTGCGCATTCCTTTGACATATCCATATGTCAAGTTTGAGTTGAATGTGTTGTACCGTTAGGGAGATAATGAATGGAAACGGAAAATTTCATATTATTTTGAAAGTGAAAGGGGCATAACTCTGCCAAAAATCATCGAACCATGACCAAATATGATCTTGACCTGTATTTTATCATGACATATCCATATGTCAAGTTTGAGTTGAATGTGTTGTACCATTGGGGAGATAATGAACGGAAACTGAAAATTTCATATTATTTTCAAAGTAAAAGGGGCATAACTCTGCCAAAAATCATCGAACAATGACCAAATTCGAACTTGACCTGTATTTTATCATGACATATCCATATGTCAAGTTTGAGTTGAATGTGTTGTACCGTTGGGGAGATAATGAATGGAAACTGAAAATTTCATATTATTTTAAAGTAAAAGGGGCATAACTCTGCCAAAAATCATCGAACCATGACCAAATTCGAACTTGACCTGTATTTTCTCATGACATATCCATATGTCAAATTTGAGTTGAATGTGTGCAACCGTTACTAAGATAATGAACGGAAACTGATGATGACGGAATGACAGAATGACGGAATAACGGGACGGAACAGGGTAACACTATATGCCCCGGCCATTACATGGCGGGGGCATAACTAGTAAATCGAACAGAACGTTTAAGGAATATTGTGAAACAAACAAAACGTACAGGGAATATTGTAATTAAGACACAAATATACGTTTGAGGTGACTTAATTATCAATTAGCTTGCTTTTTATCATCTGCTGCATTTATATCAGGGTCTTTCACAGCTTTAATTTACCGTATAATCAATGCGCTATTTTTAGTGATGTAGATTTCCAAGTGTGATTTCAAAATGTCGCTATGGCCATGCTTCAGCGCGTGTGCTAATTACGTCAAATTACACAATTAAATCTGCCTCCAGGCAGTATTACCGAGTGGAGAAATATACATGTCAGACATTTCATAGAGATTTTAGGGCGACTAGAATTTCGCTTTTCAGATCATATAGGGCGAAGTGAAAATATTTACGGCGAATTTTTTGCCTTACTTCGCCCTGAACGCAGTCCCTGTATTGCAGACCTGCAGTCATCATATTGTAATATAAGAATGATATAAGAAGATTATTTCACTAACCTGTGTATATTCTGAAGCTCAGTTCTCCTGTTCTTGTATGCTGTCATCAGACTAGTTGCTGGGTAACAATACAATCCACCAAGACTTACCTCGGTGTCTAAAATATCACATAGATTAGTTTAAAAATACAATAAACATGTCCTCACACTTATGATAATTTGATGAAATCAATATTACTATATTTACAGTTGGATATTCAGAGTCTCTTTTATATTGGGTGATATTTCAAATGGAAAATAGTATTTTTCCCCAAATATTGAAATAAAATCTAAAGACAGTTCAGCTAAAGTAAGTTATTGTAAATGTGTGAGCTTTTTTTTTTCATTTACAGATATGGATAATGTATTTATAGAGCAACTTCGGTGTACAGTTTGAAAAATTCTAAACCTTAATTGCGTAGAACTCCTAATACAGTCCTACCCTAAACTTTCTCCAGTATTATTTGATTCTGACAAAATGAAGTCAGCAGTTTTTGCCCCTTTGTGCATTTTTTCATACACGAGCAGGCACCTGAATAGAACCCCACTAGCTGGATAGCTTCCTCACATGAAAGAATCCAAAGTACCTTACAGGATTAGAACAGACAGCAGTGAGGGGGAAGTGATTTTTAAGTTGGCAACCTTAATCACTTGGCCAAAACTATTAATAGTCGTCTAATATCCTTGGTTATATTTAAGTATGTAAACTGATTTTTTAAAATTTTAATAGATTTAATACTGTACTATAAAGAGAGATATGAAACAAATACCCACCATCACCCTCAGGTAGAAGTCCGGCTCCTACAAACCACAGTACCACACTTAAATGATGTGACAATAAACTGGATACCAGTACCTTACTTTCTAACTCAGCCTCACCTATAATAAATGTACACCAATTTCTTTATCATTTAATCTGCTGAATGTGTGTAATGAATTTGCCCTGCCTTGAATTATTTGGAACAGTTCATTCGAAGGTAAAGGGATTTTAATACTAAAATACAAAAATTCAGCTGCTAACAGTATATAGCCGGCTAATGATTGTATGCAGATTTGTCTGGCAGAATTATCACAGTTTCAATTTCAGCATTGTAGGATTTATACATGTACACCCAAATATTATCAAGTTTGTGCCTTTCTTTTCCATTTTACTACAATTCTACAGAAAACAATTATTTGCAAGGTACTCATTCAATAATTTGGACCTATTTAACTGAAGTCATCTTTATGTAGTACTTGTACTAGTACTGTAAATCACTTTATATTTGCATGATCTTTATTTCATGAAAACACTATTCCCAAATTATTTCGCGCATTCATGAATTTGCGTCGGCAGGGTCAGTAATTTAAAGTTGCTATATTTTATATATCTTATTTCCACAATATAACAGGGTACAATGTCTCAGTTACATTTATTTCCATACAATGACGAACTTATTGGCTGTTAATACAACTTTAAAGTTGTCCCATTAAGTGACAGTTTATTATTTAATCTACGAATATAATTAATTATGAATTTTTTTTCTTTTTTTAATCTTTTGTCATATTTCATTATTTCTTGTTAAAAGAGTATTTAATTTCAAGGGCATTATTTGTTGACATTGTTGAAAAATAATGTTAGATTTTTGTCTTTGGATATATTCATCAGAAAAAAAAAAGAAATTTGAAAAATCTGTGATGCAACCAATTCACGAATAATAGTGAAACTTAAAACATCAGGAATAATACCGGACTACAGTAACTTAAACTTTTTCAGATCCTTGTCAAATAATTCAATGGGTGAGTGGTTAACAGGTCTGACTAGTAATCAAATGCATACTTCACCTTTTATATATTTGCTACATGTGCACTAAGTTTTAATTTTAGAACTTTAACAACACCTAGATGATGATCTCTTTCAAATTCAATTTCATAAAAGTGATAGTAACAAGCCATTTTAAACCATTCTGATTAAAAAATAAATAAACTGAAAACTAATTATTACATTAATTTTAATAGTTAAGAAATATTTACCTTGTTCTGTGATAGGTCCAGTCTGTGTTTGGAATGTTTTAAACAGAGTGACAAGGTGAGATAGACGCTGATTACAGAGTATCAAAGTCTGCATGGAACGCTGATCTAAATTCAGTCCCGAGTAGTTATACAGTATAACACCTACAACATAAATGTATCAGGATTCATTTCTTATGTATAATTTGTACAGATTGTATCATGAATAGTATGTGTGACCTTGACCTTGCATACTTTGACAATGAGCCAAAGGCACTTGAGTTTTGCATGTGACGCTCCACCTTACAATGATGAACATTTGTGCCAAGTTATAATGAAAACCCTCCATGCATGTAAAGTTTTGCTCCTGACAAGCGTTTTTCGATGACTTCTTGACCTTCACCTTTGACCTAAAGACCTGGTTCATGTGCGCGGCACAGTTTCTCTTAGTAATGGACATTTCTATGAAGTTTCATTAAAATTCCTCAATGCATGTAAGAGTTATGCTCTGGACAAATTGTGGATACCGCCTGCCTGTCCACCAGCGGGGAAACTATAGTTTTAACAGTTTTTTAAACAGGCGTATATAAAAGGATAAAAAATCAAATAAACAAGAGTCATATTGGAGTAAAATCTGCATTTATCTTTGCACCTTTTTGGATAGATTTTTCTTATATGTATAAGCATGTTAAAACATATCTTACATGTAGAATCAATCTTGTGTTTGGTACTGGAAACCATCTCCCACGCCCAGTCTAGAAGAAACTTTAACGTACATCCATGATTCTCATATTCTAGAACAAAAATGTTTACAGAATATATAAACAGAGCTATTTGTTCCAATTTTCGTTCAATTTTAAATATCATCAACAAAGTTAATGACATGGCGATTATTTAGCTTTACTGAAGGAAGAAGATCTAAAATAGCCTATTATGTAATAAATAACAAAGTATCAACATACTAAAGTTCAGGAAGCAACCCTCCATAAGCAGTATAGACGGATACCGAAAATAAGCTATTTTCACGAAAATAAGATCGCGCTACGAAAATAAGACTAACTTTTAAAATAGTGCATTTATCTGTTTAAATAATACCTGTATGAAAATAATATATGTATGAGAATACTTATATACTTGCACGAAAATAAGATCCAATTGAAAATCATGATGATCTATACGAAAACAATTAAAACCTGTATGAATTGATATTTGTACGAAAACAAGATATAATTGAAAATATGATTTTTGTCAAAATAAGATATATATACGAAAATGAGCTATGTTTAAAAAGAATACCTGCATGAAAATACTATATGTACGAAAATAAGATCCTATTGAAAATGTGATCTATACGAAAATAAGATCTGTAAAAAAATTACTGTATGAATTGATATATCTGCACGAAAATAAGATCTGTGCAAACATAAAATTTGTATGAAAATAATTTTTTCAAGTAAGATTTTTACAAATATTTTTATAAGGTCTGTGAATATGAAATACGAAAATAATACAAATGTATTTGTATGAACATAATATCTGTCTCAGAATGGTACGAAAAAAGATCAAAATCTGTAAACAATAAGATGTCTAGCTATATGAAAATAAAATATCAATATGGAAATGATCTATACCAAAATAAAAGATAATTTAAAATACGTGTAATGTAAAAATAATATCTACATTTAGTAAAAGATCAGTATATAACTTTATTGCTTTAGTGCTTTAATTAGATAATGCACGGACAAGATCTTTCTATTTGACAGAAGGAAAAAAATATACAATTCATACAAATCAATTATAAATAACAAAAATACGTTTTAATTACATTTTATCAAATATAAATCTTATTTTCGTAGACCCGATCTTATTTTCGCTTTACACGGCAATTTGAGCTATTTTCATACGATCAAACTTCACATTTTAAATTTTTTTTTGGTTCTGAAATTTATTATTTCATTCATACAAATCAATTATTAATAACAAAAATACGTTTTAATTACATTTTATCAAATATAAATCTTATTTTCGTAGACCCGATCTTATTTTCGCTTTACACGGAAATTTGAGCTATTTTCGTGAGAGTATTTTCGGCTCAAACTTCACTTATCAAAATATTTTTTATTTGTTCTGAAATTTTAATTTGCTGTAAAATCATTCAATGAATGCATAAGTATATTACTTACATAATTATTCAAACAGATAAATGCACTATTTCAAAAATAAATCTTATTTTCGTAGCCGCAATCTTATTTTCGCGAAAATAGCTTATTTTCGGTATCCATCTATACCCCTCCATAAGCTAACACAAAACTTCCTCAAATAAAAGAATTAATGCTACCTCTTTGTTATTCATGCCAATGAAGGCGAGAAACTAGATACGATTATACAAATGTTTATTAAACACTGCATGCAGGTAAAGTATCATCATTTTCCTGCATTCTAGTACAGCATGTAATAAATGCAACATATTGTTCCAAATTGCCAAAACAATGAGAGGGTAATACAAGTGACAATTTGACATCTGCATTCCTCCCCTACCCATTGAAGTAACCATGTAAAAATATAAGACATAAGCAATGAACCATTGAACCATTAGTGTTCTTTTCCTGTGAGTTAAGTACCATACTGACATATCAAGAAAGAAAGTGTAGTCTGATAATGGTAAACAACTACATCAATATAGAATATAAAAGTTGACAATATTTACCTCCACCTGCCCAGGTTGTTATACAACTCTTTAGAAAGCTGATCATATTGTACTCCAATGCCAATCCTAGAAGTAATTCTCTTTTTACAACCTATAATCACAAATTTATCATTATTAGTGATGTATATCATATATGTGCCTTAAGGTATTAGGACCCTAATGGGCACTATCAGGAACTAAAGAATTGACATCATAGGTCAGATGTATACCTTAAAGTACACCTGTATGCAAAATTTAAACAAAGTTTACCGTACGGAAATCAAGTTATGGCCACTTTTCTGAACTCAAACTGGGATGTTATAAGGCCCTTTTTTAGAAATGAGGAACCTTTAAATAATCTGCAATAACATTCTAATGAAAAATGTTTTCCCATGAATTTTTGGTAAGAAACAAATAGTACCATTCAGCTAACAATCCACATAAGCAAAATTATGGTTTCTACTTAAAATTTATGAAATCTGTATAAAAATGTTACCCTACCCCACCCATTTTTACCACTTGTCTGACCATTTTTTACTTAGGGAGCCTAATTAAAAAAATTCTTAAAATTTACCCAAATGAGTGCCTGTTTTCAAAGTTTCCCTAAATTTTTAAAAAAGTATATTGGTTGATCTTGTAAAATATGAAATACTTTTACCGTCTAGTTTTGATTATATTACACTTTGAAAATATCAGGTACCATATTTATTACTAGATTTAGCATAATTTAGCCAATAAATACCTATATAAATTAAAAATTCAAAACTAAACACTTTTTTCTTTCCATATGGGACATGAGAGATACATAAATAATGTTAAAAGAAAAAAAGAAAGAAAAAAAAAGTTGACCCTTCTGGGGATTGAACCCATGGCCCTCATTTTCAATGTAGTTAACAGTAATTCTAGCCTATTTGAATACTCTTCAAAGCGGAGGTAATGCATTAGGGTGCTAATACCTTAAATAACCTGACATAAAATGATATAACATGAGCTGTCAATACAGACAATGCACTAGACTTTTCTCGAAGCTTGACAGTAAAAGTTCACCAGAAGGAAGAAAATTGCATACTTTGACAATGACCTGGAGTTATCATTCTGTACACATTTTTGAAATTTTAAATAATAAAGCTTTAAAATCGTTATTAAACAATGCATCAAAATCATTAAAAACCTTTATGCCAAGCAGGTCCTTCCAATTTTATCACATAAAGTAAGCACAAGATGTCTGAACCTTGCGGGTTGAACCTTCAACCACCCACCACAACCTGGCTCAATGGCTTGCAGACATTTCAGATGTAAACAACTCTATTGGGATTTCTAGGCAATGGCAATTGACCCTATTATACCAGATAAATAAGAAGTTAAAACATATCATATATATATATATATATATAAATGTACTGTACCGTATTTGGATTACTTGACACTATATCCACTGGTCTAGGTAATAATCCTACATGTACACATAAGTTATAAAGATCAAGAGGCTGCATAAGGATTGCTGGTCCCTTGGATTCCATGCTAGCCAAAACCTCACGCTGGGAACCAAGAAATTCTGCATTTACTATTCCACTTTCAAATATCAAAGAGGCATCTATAAACAAGGAAGATCAATTAGAATCTATATACAATGGTGAATCAGCTTGATATAATGTTAACTTTGGTGTCATATATAAATAAATAAATCCCGATATCAGAAGTGCTTAGAAATACTTTATTCCAGCCCTGTGTACTGGGTATGTTCTAGATTTAGATGCATAACATTGTGAACTGAACATTTAAATTAATGAAAATGTACAGCCAATAGTATAGAATATAATCAGACTGTCAGCACAGACATACAAGCTGGAGTAGTCATCTGTCCAGACTCATCATGAAATGAACTGTTTCCAATTTAATCAGTCACTATTTTGAAACTGGTAAAGTCCAGATTGAAGGATGGTCCAGTCCATTTAAGATATTCAGTGTGAAGCTGATTAAAATGATTCAAACACATTATCTCAGCATAATATCGAAGATGACATCTCGTTAAAAGATTATTAAATATAATACAGTTTAATATCTCGACAAAAGTTATGATGGACTTTCAAAGATATGAAGGGTATATTTGTCATGAAAATTAAGAACTGTATGTGAAGGTACAAGACTCAGATGCCATATATTTACCCTTTATATATTTAGATATAAAACAGTGAGGAACACCTATCGTAACATTATAACACTACTTGTCACTCTACATGCAATTCTTCAAAAGTCAGCGCTCTACTTTTAAGTTTTCACATTTTGATCGAGTGCTACAATGTAACTATTCATATTTTTATCAAGAGATTAAAGCAAACAATTTTTATAATGATTTGCTATGGTAAATTTCCATCGGATAATACCAATTATAAATTTTTGAAGGTAATGAATTTGTCACTTACTGAAAGCTAATGATGAGGGATAAAAGTACTGATCTGGTGGTACTGGGGAGTTGTTGGTGAATTTCCTCAGTCTGTCTGTACTTACATGTACCATCTGTAATAATCAACATATCATGATTATTTCAATAAACCTTTTCAGAATAACAACCTTCTTAAGTAGCCAATATATTCAGGCCAGTTAGCATAGCTATTTTCTTAGTGGCTCAAATTTAGTTAATCTAATTTAAAATACTGCAACTCAACATTATACAGTTTCAACATTTAAAGCAAATTAACACACAAATTCAAAAGTTTAAACAAATAGCCAGTAGTATTAAATCTCATGAGAACTTGTCCATGTTTTACTATACTGACAGGGCTATTTTTATATCCTGATTTAAATACAGCTTATTCTGTACAGGTCAAACATTCAAGGAGGGCCCGATAGGCCTGTTCAATGGTCTGGTTTTCTGGTAGTAACAGTGCCTAACCACAAGCACAGCCTTGTCTTATGGGCAAGACTTTCATGTTTTACACCTAGTATGTTACAAAACAGTATTTCACTTTTACATGAGGCAACAGATGCAGCAACAAAAACAACTAATTTGTCTAGGGGTCAAGGGGGATATTTTTATCTACAGACTAAAGATACAACCTATTTTAACAGCATTTCAACTGATGATAATCGCCAATCTGTTTATAATGAAAACCCAGCATAAAACTAGAATACAAACATGCTATATACAACATTGTCAACTGATATCATGAAGAATAAACTTAATTACCAACAAACTATCATTTCCTGCTTTCTCTGCTGCCAGGTCTAGTCGGCACGAACAAAAATATGCACACATGTCTGTTGATCCATGGACAAATCTGAAATAAAATAAACACACGTTTGTCAGTCACTAACAAGTATGAAACAGTAAATACATAAGCCTCTAAAATCTTTACCTGCTGGACTTCTTAAATGGACTAGTCCAGTCTCAGTTTTCAGAACTGTCCATTATAAGATGAAAATTTGAAGTTGGTCAGCCAACATTGTAACAGTATAGAGCCTGATCAGATTGCACAGTTGTATGGACTTGGCTTAGGTGTTCACTGGTGGCATGGGCTTAATCACTTCCTGTTCCATCAGGCAATAAGCTAAAACTTTTGATAAATAGTGGTTCTAGACCTTTGATAGTGTTTCTAAACTTTTGATAAATAGTGTTTCCATCAAGGCTGCAAGTTTCTTTTGAAATGTTTATAGTGGGTAAAGATAACCTTCCATTTCTAGTTTTATTGTCATTTTTTACAGTCAATTTCAAGTTGCAAAAAGTTTTATCCAAGATCCATTTCAACTTTCATTTTACTTTCCTTTGTTTTTCCTTGAAAAAGAATTTTTAAACGGAAGCATTTCATACCCTTTCACTTAATCCATTACATGTAAACAGTCCCACACAAGCAACTTTTTAAGGAGAAGCAATAAAAAGCATTCATATCTACTATAAACATACATATATTAAATACATATATGGTATACCTGATAGATGAAGGCATCTGAGCATGGTACCACCTGTTAATGTCAAATATAGCTAAATGTCGTCCAACTTTTGTTGACAGATTTCCCTCTGTGGCCTCCCACACAAACACACAAAGACTTAGGTCAGGCCCATGACTACCTGTATAATAACAATACATGTTACATGAATGAAACAATTAGGTTGACTGTAGACATCAATCAAAAGTAATACACATTTAATACATAAATATAGCATGATAGCAATATGATAATAGTGAATTATTTTGACAATTCAAATTGCTTTGTATCACATTGATCATTTTATTTGCAATGTCAATTTAATTTCTTAATGATACGTCTATTGATAAATAAAAAACAGTTGAACAGTTTGATAATCTGATAAACCTGAGGAGTAAATTAAGGGGATTATTCACATCTTAACTGTAGAGATCATATAACAACTTCTCCCCTTTACTGGTGACAGATGTCAAGTGCCCTCAATTCATTATCCAGGTACAGACGAGCACCTCCGTAGAACCACCTGGCTTCTATAAGCTTGCAGGAAAGCTTTCTCACATAAATGACCAACCCTAGGATTCCTGAATGGCCTTAAACACAAAGAACTGTGGGACAAGCAGTTTAACCAGTTTGTCAAATAAAATTCTGAGTTCATATTTACTTAACCCTTTCCCCCATGAGCATATTGTGAAAAATGGCCATTTTCAGTGAAAAGCCTCCTCTTACAAGTTCAAACTGCTATGAAACTATGAAAAATGCTTCAATACTAATCAAACTTGGCACAAATGTTGACTGGACCATTGCCTTTGTAACGACATGCTCAGTCTTAAATTTCCTGTTACCATGGCAACAAGGGGACATCTCAAAATTGCCAAAATCACTATTTTGCCTCGATTTTTTCCATCAAAATTTATTTCAAAGTGCTGCAACTTCACAAGGGATTGAGATAGAGTCAAAGGCTTTTCAGCGTTGGTTACACGTTACCTTATAATGAACCTGGGGTCATTTTAAGCCTCTCACAAGTCCAAAATTTTCTTGGCGATGAGGGGGACTCTGCCCCCCCTTCAAACCCCCCAAACAGAAGGGGGCACATCCCCCTTCTGGCAACCCCCTGATGTATCTTTTGGATGGGGGGCGGCGCCGAAAAAGTGCTCACTTTTTTAGCAACATTTCTCAAACGGAAACGTGTTTGGGGCCCAAATACAGGGCTCACGTTTGGTACAATATGGGGCCGGATATCGGCCACATTCCCCCACCAAAAAAGTGTGTTTTTTTCCCCTAAAACCGAAAAAAATCCCCCTTAAAATCCCTTGAAATTAATTTTTAATGGGCATAGAAAACGCCGATCGGCGAATGCATATTCCGCGTACGGCAACCGGAAAATAGTAAGTATTCTGTGAACGGCAATCGGAAATTAGTATGTATATATAAATAAACATTCCGGACGGGTTTTATCATTCCAACATGTCGCATAATTTCAAGTCGTACAGCAAAAAAATAACAGAAATATTTCATGAAAGCAGCTTAATGATGTTTATTTGTTAACTGAATCTTACATTCACCTTTTTCTGTTTTTTTTTTCTAAATTAATTTTCCTCTGTGGAAATTCCCCTTTGGATGAAAAATATTTGAAAATCATGCAAAATTCCCCCCCTGCATGGACCCTGGCCCCAGTCTCAAAATGCTAACGAGAGCCCTGAAATAGGACATTTTTTCACTATTTCAGGCCTGAAAAAGGGGGGGGGGGTCATATGTGGTAAAGGGTTAAAGTGAGTTGGTGAAACTGCAATTTAATATACACATATGCTTTGAACCTAATTTCTTTCAGTTTTTCAGCATATCTGTATCCTTTGGTCTCATTTCTTTGTATTTTCAGTATATCTCTATCATTATACTTGGATAACAACTATATCAAAACTAGAAATGTGTCATCATGCCACGGATGCCCCCGCATGCAGCCAAAATTTCAGATGTTATAATATTTAGTTCCAAATTTGTTTGCACAAATTATTTTTTTAATTTTAAGTTCAAAGCCCTTAAAACTGTTCAATGTTAACACAAACCATTTTCATACAATGTTCAAGGCACTGAAATTATTCAGTCTTAACCTTTTGAAAAAAGCATATTTGATATTTGTAGCCAAAATAATGGCTACATACATTTCCACAAAAGTATGAGTGCTGAAACTGAAAGTTCAAAATTTTTCCAACATTCAAGAAAGATAAGTTTGTCCAGAATCATTGAACCATGACCAAATTCAAACTTAAACTGCTTATTCCTAAGATGTATCTATATTATTTTCAAAGTGAAAGGGACATAACTCTGCCTAAAATCATCGAACCATGACCAAATTTAAACTTGACCTGCGCCTTCCTTTGACATATTCACATGTCAAATTTGAGTTTAATATGTAACACTGTTGGGTAGATAATGAACAGAAACTGTAAATTTCATATTATTTTCAAAGTGAAAGGGGCATAACTCTGCCAAAAATCATCGAACCATGACCAAATTCGAACTTGGCCTGGGCATTCCAAAAATATATCCATATGTCAAATTTGAGTTGAATGTGTTGTACCGTTGGGGAGATAATAAACAGAAACTGAAAATTTCATATTATTTTCAAAGTGAAAGGGGCATAACTCTGCCAAAAATCATCGAACCATGACCAAATTCAAACTTGGCCTGGGCATTCCAAAAACATATCCATATGTCAAATTTGAGTTGAATGTGTTGTACCGTTGGGGAGATAATAAACAGAAACTGAAAATTTCATATTATTTTCAAAGTGAAAGGGGCATAACTCTGCCAAAAATCATCGAACCATGACCAAATTCGAACTTGACCTGTAATTTTTCATGATATATATATATGTCAAATTTGAGTTGAATGTGTTGTACCGTTGGGGAGATAATGAACGGAAACTGAAAATTTCATATTATTTCAAAGTGAAAGGGGCATAACTCTGCCAAAAATCATCGAACCATGACCAAATTCGAACTTGACCTGTATTTTTTCATTATATATCTATATGTCAAGTTTGAGTTGAATGTGTTGTACCGTTGGGGAGATAATGAACGGAAACTGAAAATTTCATATTATTTCAAAGTGAAAGGGGCATAACTCTGCCAAAAATCATCGAACCATGACCAAATTCGAACTTGACCTGTATTTTTTCATGACATATCCATATGTCAAGTTTGAGTTGAATGTGTTGTACCGTTGGGGAGATAATGAACGGAAACTGAAAATTTCATTTTATTTTAAAGTAAAAGGGGCATAACTCTGCCAAAAATCATCGAACCATGACCAAATTCGAACTTGACCTGTATTTTCTCATGACATATCCATATGTCAAATTTGAGTTGAATGTGTGCAACCGTTACTAAGATAATGAACGGAAACTGATGATGACGGAATGACAGAATGACGGAAGGACGGAATGACGGAAGGACGGAAGGACGGAATGACGGAAGGACGGAACAGGGTAACACTATATGCCCCGGCCATTACATGGCGGGGGCATAATTACATCTTTTAATGTCTTAGATAAGATACTTACTCTCTTCAAATGATTCATTGTCATCTAATTTAGCTGGCGGTTGATAACGAGGATCTGACAGAGTATAACACGACACTACACGACTTCCACCGTCGTAATTCGTACCAAACTGAACGAGTTTCGAGGTCAGTTCATGATCTAATCGTAAACACACAGATGTCAGTTCTTCATAGTAAACACCATAGTTACTATAAAATGTTTTCTGATTAAATGCCAACTGATACATTGAAATACTGCTGACTGAATCCAAACCTTGACTGAAAATATAGAGAATGGGTATCATGTAAGGTAATCCTCTTTAAAAGATTTATCTTTAAATATGATGAATATATCACATGTGTTTAAATACCTACTGTAAAAGAGAATCCTACATTTTATTACTATTTTATTCCTCCAAAAACTTACACAACAAGAAATAAATAGAGATATATCTTGTATTTTACTTTTCCTAATTAATTATCTATTTTCCACTTTTCTTCTTTGTTATGCTTTAAGTGGAATTATCTGCAAATGACGTCACATCATAGTGTTATTACACTAGTGTAATATCGTTTTTATAAAATGGCTTTATTACACTCCAGCGCCTGTGATAAATGTAAATTATATAAGTAAATTGTAAATTTATCATTTTCTTACTCCTCCGACTCCTTTTGACCTCTGGCAATCCAGATATAACAGAAATTTTTGGGATCATTTTCTGGTTCCTGATAAGTTATATGAGTAACAGGCATGGGGTCTGGCTCTAGTCTGCTGCTGTATCTATACCAAACAAAATAAAACAAATAACGTAACTGCTAGATTTCAAAATAAATCATTGTAGCAATAACAACACATTTTTTCCCCCAGATTTATCTTTAATATGGTCATGACATTTTACTTTCATATTATTAGTACAGATAATTATAAGGTAAAGTGACTAGTTTCAGTTGAAAACTAGAGCTCTGCAGAGTAGCACCAACGCCTGTCTACATGTCAACAAACTGGGCTATAGTAGAAGATCTAGCAAGTAAGGTTCTTTAGTTATGAATTCCCTACTCAATGTGATCTTGGGAAATCAGTCACATGAGAATTTTTGTGTGTCAAAAAGGCAATAATTCAAAAGTTATTAAGTTAATAGTTACAGTTCTTGTGTACCGCACATCTCCTATTAAAACCATGACTGTTTTGTTATTTATTACTGTAGTCTTATATAACATTTAACATTCAACTCCATACAGTGTCAATATTTAACATTCAATTTGTTGATACAAAAAATCCTATTCAAAGGCAGTACCATTTTCTCTGCTTGACATACTGTAGTCTATAATACAAAGTTTTTTTCAGATTTTATTTAGTGAAAGATGTGTAAAAGATTGTCAATAAACAAGTTTAAGGATTACATACTCTAGGACTGGTATATTAAGTTTCCACAGCTGGTAGCAACCAAAACTAAACCCTACAACCAGTATACCAGTCTGTGGAATGTATTTGAGACAGGTGACTGTGACACAGTCTGTATGGAATGTTTTCATAACCAGTCCATCAGGTTTCTGGTACTCAAACCCATTTCTGCTGATCATGTTATCTGAAAAAGATATTGTATTATTGTTAAAACACTTTGGTCAGCTGTAGTTCATTTCAGCATACAATGTAATACATTTTAAATGCCAATACTTAATTCTGTAAATAAAGACCTAGCAACTTTATTATGTAACTCTGATTGGAAGTCACTTTAGACAGGTAAGTTTGTATTTTATATCTAGAGTACTAATGCATGCACCATAATGACACCTTGACAAAAGTAAGACACAACCTTATTTTTTTCTTTTTATTTCAGGCACAAACGGGCACCCGAGTAGAACCATCAATTTTCTAAAAGCTAGCTAAGATAGCTTTTTAACTTGTAGAGTCTGATAACGCTTGCATGGCTCGAACCTTTATCTGTGAGAAGCAAGTGGTTTGAAGTTAACAATGCCCAAAACATGCAATAAATGCCCCATACATTATTTTTCCATAAAGTATGTTTAGTCATTTAAGACTTAGTGACCTTGACAATATTGATCTGTAATATCCCCCAGGTGTCAAGGTCCACGGAAGGTAATGTATAAATATATCAAATATCACAGTTATAAACCCTTACCAGGCTTAATATGTTAAGTGGACTTGTCTATTCTACAACCTGGACAAACCATTTATTATGTTTAGGGAAAATATCAATTTATAAAGCACTGACTGCATAGTAAACATTGCAGTTGTCATGGATGCACGGACTGACCTTACCCATGGATAGATTCAGTTGCTACTAAAAGGCTATGGGCTAGATAAAGGTGCTGCTCACAAGAGAAATTGTCTGACAGAAGCAAGGACAAATAGGCAAAGGAAGGACAATGGTAAACAAACATAAAATTTGGTGGGTATTAAAATGTATGATTAAAGGTCCATTATGCCTGAGAAAAAAATATTTTTTTCCCTTCTTTATAATGGAAAAATATGAGTTTTATAACATTTAAATAATGAGTTTAGAGCATTTTAAATGGTTACCATCTGACGAAAGTGCAGCTGCATGTGATATAATTTGACATAAAAGTACAAAAATATAAACAAAGTAGTATCATGACTTCCACACAAGCCAAAAAGCAACAGAAGCAAATGATGGTTCAGGTTACCTACCAATGAGTAACTATTTTTAACCTGAACAGGACATAATCAATAAAAATCTTTTGAGAAATAAGAATAACATCATTTAAGGGGCATAATGGGCCTTTAAGTATAACTTTCATAAACTATTCACAGACAATTTACACCAAAGTCCTACATGGTTACAATAGTAATCTCTAGTCAATAGCCAACAGCCAATTTAACTTCTTAGATCATATGGGCATACATGCCATAACATCCCGGATGTCCGGGACAGTCCCGGAAATAAGGTGTCTGTCCCGGAGATGATTTATGTCCCGGTAAAAAAAAAATCTACTTTGAAGTAAGAAATTTTACATTTTTATATAATTTTATTGTCAAGTTTTTATTAACTAGTCAAGAACACTAATAACGAACGATTATCCCCTAACAGCATTGCAATGGTGACACTGATCCTTTGATTGGTATATCTATGTGCCCCTTCCAACAAACAATTTAGTATCGGCAATAATTTTGATCAATTAAAAGATTAATTGTTTACACCCTGTGGCTGCCTGAGTGAAGGTGTCATACACTGTAATTAACAACTGGCCAGTATAAATTTAATCTGCCTGGAGGCAGTTATTAGTGGTCAAACACCTTGATAATTACCACTAAATATGAGGTGAAAAAATCTACAAGATTCAGTGAATGTTTCAGGTAAACGACATGGCTAATTGTCATTACTTAACATAGCTTTATTCTTTTCTATGACTGATTGAATTAACGATGCCTAAATACTTAAAAAAGATAGAAAAACTGTTAATAATCATTGACATTCTGTCTCCTTTGTCTATGGTGTCATTAAATTTACAAGTTGTAAATACGCGGTAATATAGGTTGTATGCCACTATGTAAAATTTTTAAAAATACGTTTGCTGATCAATGCCAAAAGTGTCCCGGAAATGAGTCTAAAAATTATGGCATGTATGATATGGGTAAAATGTAAACCTACCATTTAACATCATAGCTAGATGAAGACCCTGTGACATGCAGTGAAACCTCTGATTCTCTATGTCTCGGATACGTGGTGATATAAAATGTAGTTTACTCGGCACTTCTTCGTCAGAGAAAAATTCACTGTCATCAGTACACATGTCTGTAAATTAAAACATAACATTTAAAGCCAGTAATAACAAGTGATTATTTTCTGTGCAGCTCATAAGTTGTTTACATAGAATAAATGAGATAAATTGATCTTTCAATCCTCCCTCATTCTTTGCATCCAATGTAGACAATTATCTTCATAAATACTGGCATTTGAAATCAAACGTCAATTAGATAGCAATACATGAATTTTTTCCTGCAGCATTTCCTTTTTTGACTAAGATTAAGATAAAATTTATGAATACACGAACAAAGAAAATTTCAAATACACTTTTTAGACCAAAAACAGAGAACTTTGACAATGCAAATTCTTACATTAGTTAGCTTAAAAATACAGATAAATATGCATCCTGACCTAATACTTACCAACAAGGTAGACTTGTCCTGTGTTTGTGCCTACAGCTACAAGACCACAGAAATACCGGAGATGTTCACTGAGTGCCCAACTTGGTACAAGATTCCCTGTTAAATTAGACACCACCTCCACCTCTGTAACCTGTTATTGTAGTAAGATTTATATGTAGTTATGTAATAAAACAATACCTGTCAGATTGACAGCTTAACGGTACAAGCATTATATAATTATGTTCATAAAAGGGAATAAATTCAGTAAAAATCGATAGGATCTGGTTTGGTCTATGAACTTAAATTACGATTCTGATAATAATTTTCAAGTTTAGCCCTTAAAGTGCTGGAACCGAAAGTGTTAAGCCTTTGCCACCAGTATAGAGCCAGGCCAGCCTGCACTTCCGTGCAGTCTGACCAGGCTCTATACTGTTGGCTGACAAACTTTAAATATTCAAATTGATATCCCTAAAATTGATAATGGACAGTCCCAAAAATGGAAGTGGGACAAGTCCATTTAAAATATTCAGCATGTTAAGGGTTAAAGAAAATACTTTACAGAAGTTAAGTGGCCAAGGAGATAGATGTGTGCAAAACTTTAACCAGAATTTTTCTAATTTCACAAAGGGACGTAATTCACACAAAAAGATCATGCTAAAATTATTTGTCTTTAATAGTGACCAACAACTACATTGTATGTTCTTGAGAACATTTTGTGATGTTTCAAGTAAAACCATTCAGTGAAAAATAATCTATGCTGTTGAAATAAAAACCTTCAACAAACTTCCAATAACTACAGTGTGAGTAAGATATTTCCATATCAAAAATAAAGTCAAGCTTTAAGTCCAGGGATCATTCTAGGGGGCGATTTCCGCGATTTCTCGCAAAAATATCACCAAAATCTCAGAGAAATTTGTGAAATGAGAGAAAATCTCGCACGGCAATTTGAGCCGGAAAATGTCTAAACACAATCTAAGGAATGCTAAAATTACACAAAAATATGATGAAAAATTCACGATTCCCATCAAGAATTTAATTTCAAATTGTTAATTAATGAAATCGGTGTAAAAAACTCCAAAAAGTAGTCCAACACTTTGAATTATTTAGCCTAAAATAATTGCCGATCGGAGACCGCAAATTCACCGTACAGAAATACTGTATGATGGCTAACCTTTATCTATCTGTAAGTCGAGAATTTACACAAAACACTTTTAATTGATTTTAATAAAAAATTTTAGACACAGACTAACATAAAAATGGACATGTCAAAAAAAAATCTACCGGTAAAATTTGTCTTCTAAATGTCACATCAACCACGGTAAATTTTGCCGTAAAGGACAAATTTAAAAATTTTGTTTTACGATTCCTGATGAAATAGCCGATAATAAATGTTCTTTTATTGAACAAAAATATTTAATTTTATATAATTGCAATCAGCAACAGCTAGAATTGTGAATGTTTCAGCGGAAGACAGACAAATATTCATTTGTCACATATTTTCGCGATGTCGTGATTAAAAAAAATACTAAAAGGAAGCCGAGTGTTATTTAAAGGTGTTTTATAACACTAAAAATGATGTTTATGAATAAAAATTACTTTAGTTATTGTTTATATTTGTGGATATGGAGATATTTGTCATTATGTGTTCAGGTATATTTTTTAATGGAGGGAGGTGTGTGAAGAGAATCATAAAGAAAACAAAATGAAAGGTTATAAAAATATTCTTCAAATCTCAACAATCACTTCTGTACAGTACAGTGTTGTCCATTAGGAACATTGACTGCAAATAATAGTTGTAGTAGATATCCATGTATAATTCTTTTATATTTCAGAATAAAGGTGTTATATTTATTTTTCACAATTAGAATTTTATTATGTTTAAAAAAATCACAAAAGAAAAGGCATAGGATGTGTTAAAAAAGTGAAAACAAAAATCACTGTAATAAACAGAGCTACATCTTCTTATATCCTCATTAGATAAACAATGTTTATATGTACAGTGATTTTTAAAAAGTTAGAAATTTCCATATTTTTAACCTCGCCCATCATGAAAATTATTTTTAATCTCTCAAAAAAATCTAATTTCTCTCATCAAAATTTCTCAAATGAGAGAAAATCTCTCACTAAAAATCCTGACCAGGATGATCCCTGAAGTCGCTGCCATGATTATTAATTGAAGCCTTTTGCCAGCAGTATGTGTACATATACTGTTTGGATGTTAATTTCAACAAGATTCAACATTGTGGACTGTTTAAATGGTACATGTATATCTTAAAATCCTTTAAACCAGAAAGGACAGCAATATGGACAGTCAACATATATCAAATGTACAAAGGTCAGTTCCTCTATACAAAAATATAATAATAGACTAGTATATCAAATTCTTAGTCTTTATAGAATTTAAAGTATATTAAAGTTTGCTCCTTACATTGTAGGATTATTAAGGTAGAACCACACAACAGCAGTACTTATAGTTCATTGTTTCATTGATATAACCCATGTATGTTAAGTGATAAGATAACTACTATAACCATTCAGCCTTGGATACAACTCAAACCTTGAAGTAAACTGTAATACAATTGTTTGTTTCTTTATAATAATTATAAACTCCTGTATGTGTTTGCTTCTTCACTAGGCCTGAGTTTGTTTCCCCTGTTTAATATGCTAATTTCATTACAAAATGGAGAGGAAAGAAATCAAACGAAGTATTTAACTTAAAAATAAAGAGATTCTTACAGGGTGTGGTATCTCCACAGCTTTGATCACTTTTGACAATGCAACATCAAACACACAAATGAGGCCAATAGGTGAAGCATTACACACGCCTACAAGCAGCTTTCGTGTCTGTCCGGATCTAAACTCCTCCACACATGTAACATTGGTGTGTTCATCACTAAGGATACGACCAAACTGCCATGCTGCACAACGTTTACTTGTAGATATATCAACCACTTCAAGAAGACTCCCTCTAACAATCCAGCCAGACTTGCCATCTATAATTACTCAAAACAAGTTCAAACTACAGTCATTTTTATACTTTCTTACAACAATGCATGCCTTATAAATTGGGAAAAATTTTATCTTTCAGACAGACAGCTTTTGGATTTTGAAAAAATGTCAATCTTATACTGATGTCCGTCTTGCTGTACTCTTATTTGGAGCCCATCAATCACTTTACTTAGGTCAGCCATTTTTAACCCAAAAACTGGTCTAAATCTAGTACGCTTCATTTTATAAATTAAACCAAACATTGATCCTGAACTTGAAATTTATTTTGACTTACATTGTAGTTACTATAATTTTTTAATTAATCATTATTATTATAATTGTCATTCTGCAAAAATCTGCTAAGCTCAATAGGAGGATGAGAACTGGATTTGTAACCCATGGGTCATTGGTTGGACATTTAGGTAAGGTAAAATATCTCGGTGACAAATAATCTCGAATTTTTCTCGAGTTATTTCTTACTTATCTCAAATCATATAGGATAAGCAGTCAGTTATTTGTCGAGAAATTGGTAATCTAAATTACTTGTTAGTTATCCAGGAAATGTGGATGGAAGGCCAAGATACATGTATGACTTAAATGTGTTAAAATAAGCTGAAAAAACAACAGATAAACAAATTGTTTGTAAAAGCTAGTTTCATTGTAAATTTGCAGTTTTAACATTTGGATATGAATCAAAGCATTTTTGTATGATATGGTTCATGTAAAATTTGTTTCATACATCAATGAAAACATAATTAGGACCATTTGATTATAATCCTTTTCCTAATTTTTTCTCTGTGAACACAGGTTAAGGGTGGGGGAACACAGGTATAGGGTGATGGAACACAGGTTAAGGATGGGGGATCACAGGAATAGGGTGGGGGAACACAGGTTAAGGATGGGGGAACACCGGTTAAGGGGGGGGGGAACACAGGTTAAGGGTGGGGGAACATAGGTTAAGGGTGGAGGAAGACAGATTAAGGGTGGGGGAGCACAGGTTAAGGGTGGGGGAGCACATTTTAAAGTTGGGGGAGCACATATTAAGGTTGGGGGATCACAGGTTAAGGGTGGGGAGCATAGATTGGGGAGCTGTAGCTAATGAGACAACCTATTTGATAAAAATATTATAAAGAATATTAAAGAAAGATGCAATCATGTACATTAAAATTTAGGCAGAAAAGACATATAATTATGATGATTAAATATAATATCTTTAAAATGTATGTATTGAAGCTTCAGAAAAATTCTGTTGTGCATGCATATAAATTTTGTACAAAATTGCTTACGTTGTAATTATATTTCAAAAAAACATTGAAATTTCATCAAAGAATTCTGTCAGACAGAACAGATCTATGTTATTTTCATATGGGGTAAACTCGCAGGACTTTAAAAGAAAATTTCTTGGGGATTGGACAGTGTGTACCTGCAACAGCACAATAAACATATTGGCTAACATAAGATTCTTGCCTTGTCATAGTATTATACATTGTATACTGTAGTCTACATCAGTTTTTTTTTTCCATGTAACTTTAAGCAACAACTAATTGAGGTTTACCTTTGAAAACTCCTGAGAAAGCACCAGCAGGCTGATCCTCCAAACATGCTAATGTTGATGGTAGAAATGGTTTCATGTCAGAGACATGATGTGGCTCAACACCAGGTCTCATTGTCACCCTAAAGCAACATAAAAACAAATACTGATTCTCATTACCATAAGATTCCTTCAGCTTAACAAGATAATAATTATGATCATATGATATCAATATACAAATACAAGGAAAACAAGAGCATCGCATATGTTTTTAACACTTATCTGTTTAATACAACCAGTGTTAACAAAAATTTTAAATTGAAAAGCCATAAGGGCCACCAGCATAACTCCAACAAGAAATGACTGTGATGCGACAAAACCAGGTTTTCAATAATTTTTCACAGAAGCCTCATCATCATACTGTCAGCAATTTGCACTTTGAACGTTTTTTAAGAAATATTAAGGTTCTTTGATTTTTTTACATCATACATAATAATATAGATGATAAAAGTAAAGAACTATTTATCCATAATCCCGTGAAGAAGTCTATAAGACGTTGGAGTGTAGGTAGTTCGAACGGAAACATCTTATGTTATAGGACTAGGACAAGGGTAACAAAAATGTTGAAAAGCGGCTTATAAAATTTTGGAAGCCAGAACTATCTTTAAAGGTATGGTAACAAATTCATTCAAATATGAATTGTGCTAAAAATCCCCGCTCAAATTTCACCATAGAAAAAGTACTATTATACTGTATGTATAGGGGAGATTTTGAAAAAAAAAATCAAAAATACAAAAAATAGTTGCACAATATTTTGCCTTCTTGGACTACCTTTCCAAGACACTTTTCCATGACCAAGGCTCGACATTAATGGATTAATGGTTGTCCGACTGCCCGGGACAACCAAAAGTTTGGTCCTGGCAAGTGAATTTTTAAAGAACTTGTCCGACAGGGCAAGTGAAAAAAATCATTAGTTAACATATTAAATTCCAATTTTATGACCAGTAATCCTTGGAAATTACGATTTCAATCTTAATTCTAGATTTAATTAGAATGGATCAAATTTGTCGAGACTAAACATGCTGAAGCTCACAGCAGGGGCAATTGTACATGTACACCGGCAGGGGTTTTTTTTTTGGCCGATTTTATAGCCATTATTCGGTCATATTCCCAATTGAAAATAGTATGTTTTTTTCCCAATTTTGATACAAAAATTCCCAATCGAAAACTTAAAAAAAATTTTTAAAAAATCGATCTTTGTGGAACGTAAAATTAAGCAAATAGCCGGCATCTAAACAACCCACGTGTTAAGTAGACGCTTGATTTCTCAGTATAAGTTTATCGAGCGTCTAAAGATAGCGACGACCTTCGAAAGTGAAAGTAAATCAAAATGTCTCACACGTTAAAAAACTTTAAAAAAGCACTGATCAAGTCAGAAAAATTGATTTAATGTTTAAGCAAGCGACTCTCTCGGAAAAAAGTACTTCAGAAACGGTAATGGCGAATGACACTGCAAGTACTAGTGAGAAATTGCCTTCAATGGTGACCGTGAGTTACCACAATGATGTTCCGTCTGGGGGTTTTAAAAGTTCTAGCGACGAGTTTAAGTCAGATACAGTTGTCCCTGTCCCTGATCAAAGGTTATTTAGTTCCAACAAATACGAGTTGAAGTATGAATTGTTGTATCATAGTGGTGCTAAAGTTGGGTATTGTTGCAAATTGTTTCAGCTACAGATTAAATGGTACAGGTGATACAATAACACAGTTCAAAAATTTGAAAACCAGAGACCTACTTTTGTGAACTAAATCCTATAATATCAGAAAAGGAATATATTGCCTCAGGAAACTTGAAAATGTTGTGGGTTTTTTCCCCAAATTGTGGGCAAAATGCCGCTAAAATTCCCAATCTCAAGGGTATGGGTCATGTTCCCAAAATACTGGAAAAAAACCCTGACCGGCTATCAAGTTGTCTGACGAATAACCTCTTATTAACAGTGTTTAAACCCTGTGGAAGTTCAAATCACAACACTGAACTTAATTTAATGTAGCTGATATAGGCCTATATGTTTTTTCTTCCAAGCATTTGACGATTTCAGGCTGTTTATTTTGCTGTTAAATTATTGTAATTTCCTCAAAGAAAAAGTTTCTCCTGTAGCTAAATGTGAAAATAATAACAATTCATCTGTAGATATGTTACAGAGTCGTATTCACAACTTTCACAAGGAAAACAGATCTAAAAATTAAAAAGTAAAAAGAATCCAAAATAGGTAAATAAAATTGTCATATATTTTCGCGACTTAGACATGGTAAAGGGAGCACAGTTTCTGTTCGCTCTTCACGGACTTTTCACAACTTGTTAAAATGCTTTTATGATGAAAGTACTACATTAATGTAATTTTTATACATCAGTTGCACAAAATTCAATAGGGAATTTTTTTGTGTGTCAGAATAACAATTTTTATTTTACTTTCTTTTTTCAAAATGCCTAATTATATATATTAAAATCTAAATTAGCCTTTTAACTTTACCTCTATTTCCAACCAATTTTAGTGAAACAATGAGTATGGTTTCAAAGATTGCCAACCCTTTTTCGCGAAACTTACTAATGTATGGTCGTTTTCAACACTTTACGGGTTTAGGTCTGGGCAAGCAAGCTTTGGGTCAGGGCAAGTAATTTTCAAAAGTAGCCCGGGGTTCTATGATATCACGGTACTTAACGTTTATCGGAAATATTTAAATATAAATATCATAAATGAATGAGATTTTTCTTCCATCTTATAATTGAACCTTTTCCAGACCTGATTGTCAAAAAATTATTTCAAAAGAACCAATATAAATGACATTTTTTAGAATATTTTCAATGTCTGCCATTTTGGGTAATTTCAGAGGAGGTTACTATGGAGTACGGTATCAAGGTAATACCCAAAAAAGCAAGTATGGAAGGATAGATTGTTCAAAACTTTCAGGTTAAGTTGTGAAAAACTTCCAACAGTTAACTTGCTATAAAATTAAAACAATATGAACAGACTACATGTCAGTATATGTGTTTATAACATATTTTAATTGACTGTGTAAAAACCATTAAGGAAAATGGTGGTCAAATATGAAGGTTTTATAAAATAGTTTTCTTGCCACAAATACATTCATTATTCACCAATTTAAATTTATTGGCAGATGAAAATGAATCTAGTGAGCAAGTTTTACAAATATGAGCATCATTATGTGTTGCTTTTACTAGCAGTCATAGAAAATTTAAATACCTTGATATCATAGAACCCTTGATATCATAGGAACCACGGATTTATATTACAGGGATCGGACACTCCCAGTTAACCCTATATAAATGCTTAAATATCTTGTCGTGCACCCGATAAAGGTACAGCGCTAAGCGTAAATGCCCGTTCGCAACGGATACCTATTTTACAAAATACCATATAGTTTTTTCCATTTATTATCCGATTTTGGAAATTTAAAGTTTATTTTGAAGAAAAATAATTGTTTAATTCAAATATCTAATTTATTTTTTAAAGGTACAGTTTTATCTCTGTCCGCAACGACGATTAAAAAATTAACTTGACGAAATCCGCGGTAAATTTACATTTTTTTAATATAAAACGCAGGTATTCGAAATTTATTATTATGGTAACATAATAAATTCAATTTCAAAAAAAAAAGAAGCCGTTGTTAGTTTATTCACACATGATCAAAGATGCAATATTTAAGATTTATTGGGTTATGTAGTCAAATTTATTAACGCACAATTGTTTTACGGGTAATGTATTGCGGGCGCTTTACAATGTCACTCGTATATTTTAATTATTTTTTTTTATTTGAATGCCTGTAGAAAGATATTAATCATATTTTTTTAATGTAAAGCTAGAAAAACAATAAAGTATTTACAGTTTGAGTCAGTATTATGCGAAATAAAAAAGTAATTTTGATTATTTTTTACACATATCGCTTAAATTTCTTTGAAGTTTAATTACTTTTGAAGGGGGTTAATTAACAGAGTAACAAGTGATAATTGAAAAACTTTTATTTTCAAACTTTCATTACCAGGTTACATGTGATAATTGCAACACTCAATCGTCAAAAAACAAATAGAATTTGAATGTATATTTTGTATACGTGCGGTCTTTAACTTCAATCCATGGTAATGTGTGATAAGAAAATGATTCTGAAGAGGATATATATAAATACAATGTAAATCTATTTTCTTTATTAACATTTATAAATGAAATTGAATATATTGAATATATACAAGTAAATTTGTATAGTCCTTTCGTTGAAAAATAATGAAAATAAACGTATGACAAATAAATCATTTGACGTGAATTGTGAAGGATAACTATGAAAAAATCTGTTTAAACATAAAAAATAATATTATAAAACAGCTGTTCTGTATGCCAATAAAAGTTTCTTCCTTGCCAATATAATGAATTCATCTATGTATGAACGCTTTTTTTCAATGATCTGAAAATATATTTAATACACTTATTAGTAGAATACTATATTTATACTATTATTCAGGTAATCAAATAAAAAATGTTCAAATCATTTTGAAATAATTCACAGAAAAAAGACAAATTTCAAACGTGAATTTTTTTAAAAGTTTTAAAACAATCAAGAAACATTTTTTTGCATTGGCAACCATTAAACCATGTAGAAAATAATTATCTTAATCTAAATCGCGGGTAATAATTGTGCTTGAAGTAAAAGGGCGTCAAAGTGTAGAGAGTATGCCTTAACAATGGGCGAATATTTTTTAAATTAGGTACTTTTTAACTCAGCGTTACAGCGTTCTATCAGCATATTTTCATATAATAATACTTTAGCGACACAAAATAAATACTGTACTCAATACATTAATATGTGTAAAAATTTTCACAATGCTGCAATAACACCACACACTCTTGTGAAAATCTGTCATATTTCGCACTCCCGCGTTCCGCCATCTCTCATTCTGTCCACCTTTATCCGATGTGCGATTCCGCGCATGCGCGCGACGAGACTTTAAGCTAAAACGAAAGTGTCCGATCCTTGTAATATAAATCCGTGTAGGAACAGAGTATACTCAGATACTTGCCCGACAGGTAGTCCAACTAATTAGACTTGTCAAAGAGACACCGAGATAATTTTGGACGGGCGCTGTCTTTTTTCCAAGTCCAACCACGAACTGCATTTTTATGCACGGACGCTTCCCAATTAGAAGTTGTTGGGAGCGAAAACTAGAAAAGTTTTTAAAAAACGGCCTACATTACGTGAAAGAGGACCGTTTTTTATGTAAGGTTCCAAATTATCATACTTCAAAGTCAAACAGAAGTCTAAATATTCCACTTTATTTTTTTTAAATCGTTGAAAATTATTGAAAGCGGCCATATTGGAAGCGGTGTCATGGTAAAATTGTGACATTTCATGGTGTACCACAGGTATCGGTGGCAATCGATAGTATACGCAAGCCTTATAATACAATTTGTTTATGTTATTGGTGTGAATTATTGCAGGAATAACTCTTATATTCACACACGAATATTTCACCATTAAAAATAAAATGTAAAAAGGAAATTCTGACAACCTTACTTAGAAATTAAATAGTTTATAATGTCCGACATAAGATCATACTGCATTTAAGTCTGTTTAAATAAAACTGTCAAATTAGAAATTATACAGTTGGGTTTTTCAACATCTGTGATCATTAGGTGAAATTTCTGAACTGCCTTTGATTCCCCACATACGAAAATACAATGTAATTGTAGGTACATCTTAATGAATTATATTATAAATACTATACATGATGAAGCAAAGAAGAATTTCAATTTGTATTACACTCCATATCAATTTCTAGTTTATTATCTTAAAAACAATATTGAGGACAGTTGCGTAGGAGAAGAAGTTCAAAGCAACCAAAAATAACTTAAAATTCTGAAAAAAAACTTAAAATTTCACACTTCAGACTAGCCTTTTCTCAAGTTAAGAAATTACAGCTCTCAGTAAAATGCAATTGTCGCACAGATATGACGGGGTTTATGATAAAAACGCAGCAAATGGGAATTTAGTGACCATAATTTAGACGTAGAATAACATAACAATGTAAGGCAGATAGTCTGCTTAAATTACTGTAGTCGTCTGTTAGAACGACTGTCGCAAAATTCCATGTTATCTAGTGCCCGCTTTTCATTTCAAACGGCACCTCGAATGTGTCACATTGAAAGTTCCATGACTATCTCCGTATTTTGTACACATTCTGTGGGTGTTGACTAAAAATTTCAACATTATTATGTTTAAGTTATGTTTAAACCGGCGCAATGGAGCACTTGCACCTACCAGAGCCGTCTTGGGCACTTATGTGTATTTATGTTTCGGTTTTGCAGTTTAGGCGTTTTTTGTGGGGGTTTTAAGACGGGGAGATGGGTGGATAAGTTTTTTCTATTTTCTTTACATTTCTTTGCTTGCTTGCCGAACCTTGTATTAATAATCATTATGTGTTTGTTTATACGGTTCGGTATACATGTATAAAATATGTTAAACAAGATGAACAAGGAAAGGTGACGTTCAATGAACGCAACCCCAACACGACCCACGAACAAGAACCATTAATTGGCAAGGAGCCCAGGAGGATCCTAAACAAAAACAAGACAGGGCGCAAGGGAGAGCACGGTCAGGCTTTTTACTAAAATGATACAGTAACATATGAAGAAATAATGGTAACTGACAAGGAAATCAAAATCAAAGAAATTAAATGAATGATTAATAGGGCCTCTAAGTAACGAGCACATGGGAAGGGGATAGGAAATTCAAGGAAGGGGGAGGGGGCGAAATAAAGAAATAAAACTAGGGGCAAAAGGAAGACACTTACCATAGACGAGAAAACAAAGGAAACAAACAAAAGTGCACCAAAACAGTATAAAACAACAAGACATACACCTTAAACATGTACAAGTCTCTTAATCTGTTCATTTGAAAATTCTTATCTTCTCAATGACCTTTTTTAATATCCTCTTTTAAAATCTATTTCAATTAAAATATGTGACCATTCCCTTATAGTTGCACAGCATATGGCTGGATCACAATAAAGTTCCTTTTAGTAAATTAATAAAGTATGTTAAGAAGACATTAATCTTCATCAGTAGGTTTGATATGGTATTATTTATCGGCAATTTGTGAAAAAAAACTCTTGAAATATTATTTGTACAAATACTGAATAATTTGATGTGCATTCAAAAAGTTCCCATAAATATTAAATTTCTTTTACGTTCTTAATTGTCATATAAATATGCATGTATAAATGAAGTCAGTATTTTATGCGAGAGTGACATTGGCAGTCATTAGCAGTAAACAAGAAGGCAAACCACCTATTGATAAGTGTTGAGCACATGTTACTGTAAATTAAAACATTTAAAAAATATTAAACAACAGCACTTGTACGGAGCCTATTTGCTACCATGGCATTTTATGTTAAACACATTGGTATTTTTTCATTAGTATTTAATAATAAACAAATTTATTACAAAATAATGAAAAGATTTATTTCCCCTATATTTTTTGCAAGTTAATCTTCCTGCGTTACCCAAACTTACCTGCTAGACACACTGGTAGGTACTACCAGCTTTCACGGAATCGATTTTTTACGATGACGTCATAACATGTCCGCCAAAGATAATGTAGACAGTACAAATTTGAAATAAATCGCATGTATGCGCTAAGACAGGTACAATCTAATATTTTTTCTAGGAGAAGTTAGTACAAGAATTTATATTCTATTGATTTTTAGAGGACATTGAAGTTACTTTCATGTTTAAGCAGTAAAAATCAGTCCAAACTATCGATAGTGTTGCCGGTAGATTTTCCGTGCGTAAAAATGACAGTTAAAATTAGGCGTAACGGTTTGACAGTAAAAAAAAAAAGTCTGTAAAATGGGTCAAACCGTTCACGCCGAATTAATTAGGCTAGCCCGACAGGACAACCAAATAAAAAAGTTAATGTCAAGGCCTGCATAATGATGACATTTAGCTATTTCATATTGACACCAATAATCTCCTGAAATAGACCTCTATATTTGATACAGTACTATACCTTATTATATATACTCCGGGGTCTAAACCCGGATATAGCCAAACCGACTGTATCCAGGATTACCCCACCCATTTTATCAGACTGTATGGAACGTTTTTGCGTCACTTGGATCGCTATTATTGAAGGAAGATTGATGACAGTGCTCTAACATATAGATATCAACTACAAAACAAATATAAAATAGATAATCAAGAGGTTTGTTACATACTCATGAAATAATTCACACGTAAATTTCCAATTCACACTTTTCAATTCATGGTAACCGCCATTTTCCCGGCTCGTGGAACGCATGCGCGACGTTACTTTCAGAAATGATATTCAGTTTGCGGTCCCGAAAGTAAGTTATATACAAGATACAAGAACACTATTTTACGTCGGGTATATTTTAATAGAAAACACTAGCTCATGAGCTATTTTCCGACATACATATGTAAATGGATTAAAGAAGTAAAGTAACTAAAACGTTATAAGCATATATGTTCATACCTGTAAAAGAATTGTACATTAGCTATAAACAGACATGTGCATAAGCATGCACATCTAAGTACACGGATTTAAGAAATTATAGCATGTTTAAAAGTTACAAAAATTCAAGAAGGTAATACAAAAAGTAAGATATACATATATATGTACATTCCTGTAAAAGAGTTACATTAGCTAAAAACAGACATTGTATATAAAAACAAGGAAACTGCATGGGACAATCACATACATGTATGCAAATAAAAAGTAACACTAAGCATTTTAAAGGCATAACGTTGCAACATTTAAAGACTACATATATAAGCACATGTTAAGCTCCCATGTGCCAGTCAAATATAAATATTGGAATAAAACAAACAACATACATCACGATCATACACTGTAAACAAATACACAAGACACATTTTGAACACCTGACTCACAACGGGGTCTTTCAATTCTATTTGAAAGACCCTGCTTACAAGAAACTCAAAAAAGGAAAAAAAGTGTTTAACAAAAGGCTACAGACGACACATTGAACACTAACATGTACATTCTGGACATGTCAAATCGATATTTCAATTATAAATTAATCTTTATGGCCGATAATTAAAAAGATTAAATAATAATTAATATTTAACATATCATAAAAAAAATGTTACATACATTCGTTTTTCTTTTTTTTAATTTGTCGTATTTTTGTGCTGTAGTTTACCTAGATTTAATATCAGGGAACCAGACTAAAATTAAATCATGCGTAAACACTTTGTCTCCACATAATTAAGAGGAACTGTTTCGCATTTAGACAAACGCATCAGTGTAAGAGCTGTTGCATTACACTATCATAAAACATCTGAATTTTTTTCTTCAATTTGTGGACTTTTAGAAACTAAAAAACAAGTTCGTTCGTTTTGAAGAAGTTTTTTTTTCTTTAGAGATGATTTGGATAGTGCTGTGCGGACATACATGTAGTTCAGGTTTGAAAAACTAACTGAAGTAGCCGCCTTTTATATAATAAAGCGAGGTCACACTTGTGTTGTTTTATTTTGGTTGGATTTTGTAACGTGTCTGATGCCTTTAATGCCTTACATACTACGTTTGTTATTGTCCACTTCTTAGTCATATTTGTTATTGTTTGTTCACTATCATGCCCTTAAGGTCCAAGTCCCTAAACCGAAGTCCATATATAAATAACAGTTACACTGCCTATAATTTAAATAGGTAATATACATGCATCGATTGCAAACAATTAACCGATCAAATTGTACTTTTCATGTTCTGAAACAAACAAAAAAAACAACACAAAAAAACAAATAATAATAATAAATAAACTTCAAAAAAACTTTAATAAATAAACAAATTATATACAGCAACGCTACAGACTCTCTACGTGTTATTTATAAACTGCATGCAGCTGGAAATTTAAGTTCCAAAATCACCTCTCGGAAACAAACTATATGGAACATATGTTAACTTGTTTTTATCGACTTTGGGCTTTTATCATAAACACTGTGGCAAAAAATAACGTCCAATAGAAAATTCTACGTCAGATAGTCCTACTGATTAGATTTGTCATAGAGACATAGATATAATTTTGGACGGGCGAAGTCTTTTTCCAGTCCAATTCAAGTTGTTAATTGGGAGCGAAACCTAGCAAAGTGAGGAAGAAAAGTCCAGTATTACCTAATGAATATCTGTTTTTATATCAATTCAACGGATTAACAAACATTTTGTCACGATCGAGTTCCACATGTATATACTTTTTTCTTTCAATTTTACTTCAGACGTAAATGAATTGCCACACATAAGACGGTTTATTATATCATCTATTAACTTCTTGTATTATTATATATACCAGTGTCACAGGATGAGAAAAATGTGCAGCCTGACCGGGACTCGAACCCGGGACTAATAGTGAATTATTGACCTGTCAAGTGTAAAGTGCAAGCAGTATTAGCGCTGTGCACAAGTACATGTGTATTTCGTGCAAACTAATTTAAAGTGTGTGTACATATATAAATACCGTTGAGTATATGGTCGCGCAAATAAGCTAGAAATCAAATAAAACCAATTGTAATTACGAAAATTACGACGAAATGTCTTAGAAACCTCTCCATCGTGTAATAAAGGTATTGTGTTAATTAAAATATTTATATTGCAGTGATGATGCACTATATACAAATCCAAGATAAAATTATGTGCTGTTCTGTTCTGTAATTGATATTTACGCTGTTACACCGTGACAGTGGACTAGACCGCCGCGTCACTATATCATTATGATTATTCTAACGGATCAGTCCATTATCTATAATATAGTTAATGTATCTTATACTGCACTTAAATTAAACAAATATATAAATATACGGAATAAATATAACTGATGAACGGAGCTAAGAAGACGCTCGTTTGATCTTTAGCAACTGTTAAAGAAAATTCAACTCATCAATTTAATGGTTTTAATGGAACCTCAGCACAATGTAGATTGGAATTGATGGAAATTTATGTGAATCAAACATTTCTGTACACGTTTGGACATGTAACTGGGATCATTTGACAGCTACATGATCTGGGCTGATTTTCTGAAAATAAAGGAGATAGTCAAGTAAGTAGAACGATTTATTTACCTATATTTTATAAGTATAATATACGTTTATTAATTGAATGCTTAGCTATCATTTGAAAGTGATTGTTTCAGGTTTATAATGATCCTAAGATAAATTTATTTAGACCCTTCCGTCCTTAAGACAATATGGACCCAGTAGCTCATTTATATTTTAGCTAAATTTTATCGTTAACGGGGCATTTTTCAGCTAATTATCAATCATATAACAACATACATTTTTATCTCAGTACCACAATTTAGCAAAACTAACCTACGTATACCTTTGCAGATAACTGTTTATAAAATACGGACATTGGGGTGGGTACAAAACAAATTCTTAGCCAGACTGACTTATCTATACTATCTGTTCCATACAATACTTAAACTATACGGCCTTTTTAGGAGGTCAGAATAACCCCAAGTGGCAGTTATTTTTGTCTGTATTGATTAACAGTGCACGTTTGCACCACTGCAAGATAGATTCATGTATAACATATCATATCTACAACATACGTGTTTGAACAAATACAAATAGATTATTTTATATCTGACGCGCTTTTAAGCAAACTCACTCAGATACGATATCTACTCTAATGTATTGATAAACTAGCCGACCCCTGCGACCTCAAAGGTAACTAAATCGATATCACTGAAAATAAAGCTCGCATTGAAACTATTGTCTCGTATAGATGTGTTTTATTACATTTGTAAAATTATATAAAACCTTTGTAGTTAGATCAAGGTATAATAGATATTGAAATTTGTTTGCAGACACATTTTTAAAAAATAAATGTTAAGTTTTCGTGAAATAGAAACAAGTGTGTTGTTCTACCTTTCTGACGTTTTCAAACAAAAACAAAAACAAATTTAAAACAGAAACAATGCATTTAGTGTGTATGTAGATGATACAGTATATTAAATGAGTAAAGATTAAATAATAAATTTATTGAACGAGTTTAATAATATTGTTATACTCAACAAGTTCAATGAATTTATCATTGAATTTTCACGAATTTAATATTCTATTTATCACATACCCAAAATAAGAATGGTTTTACAGTGCTAGGGGGCGTGAGGGATGTTGCACATATTCATTATCCCTCATGTACAGACTCAATCAAACTGAGTCTGCAATTCTCTTGTTATTTTGTTGTGGTTATTGCTTCCGAGGGATCACTTTGTTTCCAGATTTTTACAGTTAAAATGTGTCAGTTTTCATGGGCGACCCTTCAGTGTAACTAACATTATAATTAGCGCGCATTAACTATGTACGCAAATGACGTCACCTCAGTGTTATATTACACTAGTGTAATATCGTTTTCATAACATGGCTTTATTACAGTCAGACTGAGTTTCATGTGTAATAGAAAAACCAAAATTTGGCAAAGCGATATCGCTGGCCAATGCGGCACACAGTCGAATTAACGCTTTAAGTCTGTACCTTCTTATCTGGTTTTGATGTTGCGCTTGATAGTAATTTCGTCCCTTTATATTTAGCTCACTTGAGCTAGCTCAGGGTGAGCTTTCAGGAGCGTTGAATGTCCGTCGTCCACCTTCCGTCGTCTGTTCGTTAACACTCTAGCGGTCACATTTTTGCCTCAATCATCATCAAACTTCAGGATGTCAGGATGCTTATCTAGTTGATAGCTCGGATGAGTTTGAACATGGGTCATCTCGGATGAAAAAGTAGGTCCCGGAGCTAAAAATAGAAAAACCTTGTAAACACTCTAACGGTCACATTTTTGTCTCAATCATCATCAAACTTTGTCAGGATGCTTATCTAGTTGATAGCTCGGATGAGTTCGAACATGGGTCATCTCGGATGAAAAACTAGGTCACCGGAGCTAAAAAAAGAGAAGCCTTGTTAACACTCTAGCGGTCAAATTTTGTCTCAATCATCATAAAACTTTGTCAGGATGCTTGTCTAGGTGATAGCTCGGATGAGTTTGAATATGGGTCATCTCGAATGGACAACTAGGTCACAGGAGCTAAAAATAGAAAAACCTTGTTAACACTCTAGTGGTCGCATTTTTTACTCAATCGTCATCAAACGTGGTCAGGTTGCTTGTCTATAGGTAATTGCTCGTATGAGTTCGATCATGGGTCATCTCGGATGAAAAACTAGATCACAGGAGCTAAAAATAGAAAAATCTTGTTTTGATGATTTCTAGGTCAAGTTCGAACATGGGTCATCTCGGATGAAAAACTAGGTCACACCGCCCAAATATGGAAAAACCTTGTTAACACTCTAGTGGTCACATTTTTGACACACCTGTCATGAAACTCTATCTTCACTGTTTGATCATACTTATATTTTGACCAGGTGGTAATAACACGTTTTATGTCCCGGGCATACCATACAGTAAACGAACCGTCCGTAGGCCCGTCCGTCCGAGCTAACATTTGGATTTTTGGCGATAGAAACAATTGGTGATGACATGCATTCCGTGTGCTTTTATACGGCACTTACCCTTTCTGTGGCTAAGAAGAACGAATGAGAGAATAATGCAATTGCCACATAAATACTGTCTCATTAGCAAGTCCGTCCATCTTTCCGCATGAGGTGAACCTAAACTGGCAAAATGGACTAATTTTATGTTTTACCTGTACCAATGGCTACATAATTTACACACTTACTACTCAATAAATGATCTGGGCTAGTTGCATAGCTATGGCTTTCATGTTTTTAATCCCCTTTCGCGTAGCGGAGAGGGGATTATAGGAATGGCTTCCGTCTGTCTGTCCGTCTGTCAGTCCGTCCGTCCGTCTGTTCGTTCGTAACATTTTCGAGTCCGCTCCATAACTTTTTAACCGCTGAAATTGTTTTGAAATAACTTGGCACATGTGATCACCATAATAAGACGATGTGCAGATCGCAAAAATTGGGTTGCTACCCCCAAGGTTAAGTGCACACTCAAAGGTCAAATGTTAAAAGGTCTTCATTTCATAATAAAAGTCTACACTTCGTTTCCGCTCCATAACTTTTAAACCACTGAAATATTTTTAATAACTTGCTACAAGTGATCACCATAATGAGACGATGTGCAGAGCGCGATAATTGGGTTGCTTCCCTAAGGTCAATGTCACACTTAAAGGTCAAATGTTAAAAAGTCTTCATTTCATAATAAAAAGTCTACATTTCATGTCCGTTCCATAAATTTTAAACCACTGATTTTTTTAAATAACTTGGCATAACTGATCACAATTATGAGATGACGTTCAGAGCACAATTATTGGGTTGCTGCCCAAAAGGTAAAGGTCACACTTTAAGGTCAAATATTAAAAAGTCTACATTTTGTATCCGCTCCGTAACGTTTTAACTGCAGAATTTTTTTTAAAAAGTAACTAGGCATAATTGATCACCATTATAAGAACATGTGCAAAGCGCAATAATTGGGTCGCTACCCCCAAGGTCAAGGTCACACTTAAAGGTCAAATGTATAAAATCTACATTTCGTGTCCGCTGCATAACTTTTAAACCACTAAAACGTTTTTTAACTAACTTGGCACAAGTGATCAACATTATGAGACGAAATGCAGAGCGCAATAATTTAATTTCAAGGTCACACCTATAGGTCAAATGTTAGGAAGTCTACATTTCGTGTCTGTCTATAACATTTAACCTGCTGCAATGTTTTTAAGATAACTCGGCAGAAGTGATCATAGCACCATTGAGTACACACCATTGGCAGGTTAACTCAACAATAATCAAAGTTCACCAACAACAAACTAGAAAAGTGGTCAGTGGTTCAATTTCAAAAAGGGTCCAATCTATCCCAAATGGGGCGAGAATCACGCCATGTTTCGTTCCAAACAAACAGATGGTCTAAAATACTGCTAAAATATGTTTTCCATTTTTCCTGAAATTGTGAATGTTCTCAAAGTAAAGATACATAAGGATGAAATGCTGTCACTAATAAGCGAAAAGAAATTTTCACAAAGAGGTTTGAATTAGAGGAAATTTAAGTTTCTTTTAAAATATGATTATTTTCATAGTATGTATATAAAGAAATTTTCATGAGTGGTCACAAAATATGGTATTTTTGGTTAATATGTATTTCATCTAAGCAAATCTGGATTTCTGTTATAATAACATGCTGATATTAAAATTTGGGATCTTCCGGAAATAGAAAGTAGTCCGGCAAGACAATGAAATACGGAAAATATGTTTTGCATAATTAAAAATTTTCTATATGAAAATACGGAAAATGAAAATACGTTTTTACACAAATTTCTAAGATATTGTAGAATCTAAATAAAGAAACTGAAATAAATAATAATAGTGTCCAGCTTTATTTGCCATCCAATGTAAACGCTGTATTTCTTGAAAATTCTTTGTGTAAATGTTCATAGAAGAACAAAAGTCGATGATATATCAAAAGTCCGTTCATATCAGTCTTCTATTTTTCATAGTGCTTCATAGAACCGCGTTCGTAAAAATGGACAGGTAAAGTGACGAAATAAAGTAAATATTAATGAAGCCAAATAAAGCTTGACGCTAAGTATGTTTAGTGACAAAAGGTATAGTGACGAAATAAAGTAAACATTACATTCGGAACTGCCTCGGCTATTATCTATAATAACCTTATCGAAACATGACGGAAAAGTGCTCGACGTAGTTCGATTGTAAACATAATAACCCAAATAAAGTTAAACGCTAAGTATGTTTGTATTTAATGTCTGTTCCAGTGTATTCCTAATGCTCGCAACAATCTGTAAACTGACGGATCAAATATTTAATATACATTCGACTAAATGATTTTAATAGGTTGGTTTTTTTACTTTCGTTTCTAAACTATAATGACTACTGAGGATAAATCTAAATTAAAGTAGACGGTTTTGGCTTGGGTAACCATATAATTTGACTTTATTTTATGGTGGAATTTTACCACTAGATTAATAAATGCAAAACTCCCAGCATTAATTACTATTTTTTAAACAGTTAGTTTTCTTTTAGTTGTGGTAAAAACCGGAAAATATATATGCATTTTTGTGTAATTCTATAATAAATTATGGTTCGGATTCTTTCAATACTAAAACGGAAAGCCGGGGTAGTTGACGGATTTGTTAAAACATTAAGAAGTCTAAATAAAACTTAAAACAACAATTTTTGTATTTATCCGTAGTATGTTTGTAGAAATAAGAATATGTCTCGGTCTGCTATCGTCCGTCGAAAGTTTTAATTTCTGTAGAACAGAGATAACACTAACGTATTCTTCGTAAATACAATTTTAATAGTTGCGTAATAATTTTTACAACTGTTCTTTCGTAAAGATAATGACGTCATCTGAGCGCATAAGCGGTCTGACATTAAAGGTTTCAGACGGGTTTTCCGGCATGGATAAAAACACCGAAATCCAAATCAAATTTGAAACTTTATATTTCATGGTCGGTAAAATGTTTACCACTAGAAATTAATAAGCAAATTCCAATGACACTCTTTTATTGCTGATACCTGCAATACTTTTTTAAAAGAAATTATTGTTTTTGTTTTGTTTGTGGAAAAAAACGCCGGAAGAATATGATATGCAAATTTTTGCATGTAAATGTTTCGATAAAATTATGACGTTCCTTTCATTTGCAATTATGAAATCCGCAATTTATGCGGAGGGACCTTCATTTTGTAGGATATGTGTATAAACATATAGTAATTACGTTTATGTATTAAAAATCAATTGATATACAACAATTTTGCATTAATGGCTCATGTAATGTATGTTTTGGTATGTATGTACACGTATATGTGCGTATGTATGTGTATATGTATATACAAGAGACCTTTAAGTTAGTGGTTTAAATATCAATTTTGATATGAAAATGTTCATTATGTACATACTTAAGAAAATTTCGGCTGGTATTTACTTTAACAATCAAAATTGATCGTCTCCAAACTTTTCATGATTTTTGATATTATGTATATATGTTTACGTCATACACTGTTCGTTATTGTGCATGTTTAATGTCCTCATCGGCTTAAAAGCCTATTTGAATAAATTAAAATGTCTACTTTAATAAAAAAAACTGTAAGGCTATGTCGCGCAAATATATCTAATGTCATAGTGGCACAGCGTCACGCTAAATGGTAGCGTTTCAATATTAACCGCCCGTCCAATAAACAGGAAACTTCTTATTTACTAAATTTTTTGAAGTTTTTCGCATAACATTATTTTCTAACTCATGCAATAAATTCTATATTGAATTTATTGAATGAGTTAGAAAAGAACCTACACTCATTCATTATTCTCTGTTATGTATTTTTCTTAATGAGCGACCAGATTGAATAAACACAGGCTCATCTCATTTGTGTGTAAGCTAGTCGCAATCACTTTTTTATGTTTCAAATATCAATATTCCTTATCAGAAATTTGTTAGGAATGATTTTAGACTTTTTCTTTGGAAAAGAAAATATATCAAGCCGTCTGTACCTTTTTAATCAGCTCTGCTGATGCGTTTCTTCTTTCTGATAAGGGGATAAGACAATAATTATCGCACAACACTGTGAAGACAACAATAGACACATGTTTCCTGAAAGTGGAGGCTTTTCTTTCCACAAAATATTCTCAAACTATACACGTGTGTTTTAATTGGTATATTAACAACGAATATATATTACGCCACTAGCTAGAAAGATATTTATACCGGATGGTGCAGCATTGTGCAGTTAATAATTTCTGACCTGACAAACATTTTTTTCAGATATCTATCATTTCCTACATACAAATAATTCATTATCAGCTGACTGGACAAATTGAAATCCACCAAGTAGAAAAATATGTCGCGTACGACATCATTGAATATTTTGCGTCACACGAAAATGCCCGATATCAATATTTTACAGCGCTAAAATCTAGGCAGAATTGGCTATGATGACGCTTATCTTGACAACAAATACAACTCTTAAGTCAATATAGGCTTTCAGTTGAAGTATGCATACTATGATCAAAACTAGTAAACAGTGAATTAGAGAAGAAGCCGTACGTTATCACGAATTTCAAACCGTTCGTGAAAATTTCTTCGCTTCGAATCTGTGACGCGCATTTTCAGATGAATCGAGACGAAAACAATGAAAAAATCTAGTATGCAGGAAAATTGTGGAGAAGGTATATCATATGTACCTTACACAACAAGAACATCACGAATTTCAGAGAGAAAAAAGTGGACTAAAATCCTACTTTTTGGCTGCATCGCCTTTTGTTTAAATTTGAACGAGGCTTTTATTTTCCCTTTTATAACACTATTTTTCATTCCGCCAAACTTATTAACATTCAAAAGGGTTTAAAATTAATTGCACAAATGATCCCCCCTATACACAATCGGAGGCTCAACATCAAAGGTTGCTTCCCCCAAGGTCAAGATTTTGTTCTCCATAACTTTTTTGATTTTAAGATTTTAAAAAACTATGCACAAAACGAATATTCCTTAATGTTTGTATATAAAAAATGTCAATATTTCCTTAAAAAGCGAAAGTTAATGCAAGAAATTTTGCATATTAAACTTAAATGTTTTGTTTGTTTTGGGGGTTTTTGTCACATCGACACGTAAGGGCATTCGCGAGTTCCAGCTTTACTGGGGGAGGAAACCCCAGGGGCCTCCGTGATTATTTCCCCGGGGCACGGCGTGACTTAGAATAACATCTGACGTTCCGTAAAAGCTAGCTGGACTATCTTCCTCACATGAAAGATCGAAATGTCCCTGTTTACGGGATTCGAACCCACAGCGGTGAGGGGCAAGTGGTTTGAAGTCAACGACCTTAACCACTCGGCCACGGACGCCCCGCCATGCTTAAATGTAAACGCCTTTCTAAATAGCAGCATACTATTTTCTTCCGGAACATTTCACTCTATTTACGTGCAATACTCATGCCTGTTAAACAGAAACAACTTATGTTACAACTAGTTTGACGATCGACCATATGATTATGGAAACATTATAATTTTGATATTTATAAAATTTAATTTAGAACTCATAAGTTATAGCTTTATACCCTATATATAACTTCAGTTCATCCAGACAATCTTGCCGATCAAAGTTGCGGAATTACATATATTGTACCACTCACTGATTAGAAAATAGACCCAATGGCAACGAAGAAACAGAACGATTCAAAGTATCATAATTGGTGTAAAGCAGGATTGGCTATATTTTTCACAAAAGAGGGAATTCGACCATTCGTAAACAAAGAGATAAAACTGTTTCAACAGAAGCTTTTAAAAGACAGCAAAGGAAATAATAAAGGTACCTGTTCAAATTGCCGAACAGAAAATGTTGTTGAGTGCCCTACAAATGGAATATGTAAAATAAAGTATGGGAAAAAGTGCAGTTTTCACAGAAATGCTTGTACCAAATTCAACGAAAGTGGTTGCCCAAAGAATATTTGTGATACATTTTACAGAGAACTTAAGAAAGTTCATCGATTCGATGGTCCGTCGTTCCGTAACACAAATGCTAAGCAGTGGTGTACAAATGCATGGGAACTAGCAAAATGTTTCATGCCCCCTGATGGTTACGATAACGTCCAGAGCGAAGATGGCACCGATTTCAATGGCATAATAAGTGTTATATTAAACTTCAAGGAATTTGACAAGAAAATTCAGAAGCGTCATATTTTTGAACAGGTATATACAAAAGTTATTTTCTAATGAACGACAGTTTTAATAGCATCATAATTTTACAAATCTTATAAAAAAAAGAACTGGTTGAGTTATGAAGCTCAAACTATATTTTGCTAATAACGAAAATATTGATTTTTGTTCTGGTAATGATACTCGTAATTCGTGTCATATATGTTATGAAGTCTTAAATTAACAAATTTTCCTTTCCTTTGACCTTTTTTATGTATAGGCAAGGGAAATAGGAAAGTCCATTCGTCATTCTCCAAATTTTGAAATAGAAGATTCAGACCTTTCACAGTATTTGACAACACTGAAGTCCCTTCTTTCTGACGCTACGTGTCTGTCATATGATAAAATTGCTCAAGATGCTAAAAGAAAATTAATTCAGGTTAGTGGTTTATCTCATATTTGTTCCTCCTATACTAAATGCAGTTGAATATATTAGTTTTCTTGTTACTTGTACATGTTTTTTTCTCTCAAAATAATTAAGTTTATTTAGTACCAAATAATTATGTGCTTTTATTAAACTCACGTTGATGTTTCAAGCTTGTCCTGGTTTGACTATGATACAAGTACAATTCAAATGTTTAAGGGCTGATATAAAGTTGTTGTATCTGTATTATTTTACATTACCACAAAATATATGTCCAAAAGAAGAAATGCAAATATATTGAGATCTAGTGAATTGGTGATAGTTGCAGAAAGTTAATGATTCCACTGCTTTTCTGAATGGCTTATTTGTAAAAAGAACCCTGCAATAGTTACAAAAATCATTCCACTGGTGTTAAAAATGGCTCGGGGCACAATTCACTTATACATAGAATTATATATACTGTACTATACATGTCATAAAATCTTTTCCTCCAACCTAAAAGTGCAGACCATAGACATTAATATGTGAGGTAGCATCACTTTACTGGCTTTATTAAGGTAGAATTATCACTTTGTACAAATCATGAAAATAAGGTACATGTATGTGTGGGTATTGATGTTATTGATGTAAAGGGGTGTGATAAAAATATTTGTAATCAGAGCATTTGTGAATATCTGGTACACTATAATTTGTTTTCTTCAAAGTATTATCATTTAAAAACCAACATAATTGTTGTTTCAGCCAGTGTATTTACATATACTTTAATCGTTGGATGCATAAGTTTTTTTGTTTGTTTTTTTCCATATGACAAGAGCATAGTTCTTTGGCATGTATCAATATAATCTGACTTACTTTTATATCACTTAAAAACAAATTTACATACGGACGTGTAAAGCCCGCCTTAACGATGCTCTTTTTATTGTATATTTAAGAAGCTTCCATGTAGATAAGACGACACGATATTCTTCAAATAAAATGTATCCCAATGTTTCATCATCTGTCTTTTTAGGAAAACAAAAGTATCTTTTAAAGCCTAATCATCAAAGAAAACATGCAATTTTTAGCGTAGAAACAAGACGCTTGTTGCAATTGTAAAAAGAACAAAGATCTAGTCTATTGAAGCAAATACAATGTACGTACTTTGTTGGAAAAATATTTCTTTGTAACAATGTAATGTTGATTAATATAACTTTCTTTACAGCTAGAAAATGATGATTTTTTTTTCGAAAGCAAAGACTTACGAGGTGTATTGGTTGATGCTGCAAAAATAATTGAACAGCGACGACAAAAAGATGTTAGCGACAAGCGAAAAGAAGAAACTGAAGAACAAAATCTGAAATTGATTACAGACTCAATAGCTGCCATTAAAGGTCAAACAGAAATGTCAATTTCTGAAATGGAGATGCGGTTGTCCAAGTTTAGAGATGGAATCAGTGATGATATCAATAAAGGGATAATAAAAATTGAGAACATAGTTAAAGAAAGCTTACAAAACATCGAAAATAAAGCTGAGAAAAAAAGAGAATCTTATGATGATTTAAAGAAAGGTAATTGTTATTTATATCTATTCTTTGAATTGGAAATAATTCACCAGTATATTTACGTTTTTAACGTCAAAGAAAAAGACTGTCATATCCTAAACCACAACCTCGTTGTGATAGGAATGGCCCTACATTTCACATTTTAGAATATATCGTTCTTGTTAGCTGCAGAAATGGCCGACAAAGCCTTTTATTAATTCAGTAACTTGAAAAGAATGACGACTTCTCCTTCACTGCAAGTCAGATTTTAATGAAACGCAATTGAGAAAATACTTTTGCCCGCTTAACAAGACAAAGCTTGAAATAGGAATAAGCTTTTATTTAAAGTTCAGCAATGCCTTCTTTTGACATTGATCAAGCTTTTTGTGTAGTTTTTCTGATTTCGTAGCACTTTAGACAATTAAGTTTATAATTTTTTTATCAAACTTGACTCGCACTTAATATTTGGAATATTTGTATACCATACATGGATAACGTCATTTACCTATCAAGTAGTTCTGAATTAGATACTTTTATTAGGCACATTTCCAGCCCAATCAATATAACAAAAATTGAAAATGAAAAGAACTATTTTAGCGACCAGGAAAAAAACTATTTTAGCGACCGTAATTGTAACCTATATCTGTAGACCTTCAACTTCCCAAAAAGTGTGACCTTGTCTCTTTATTATTTTATGAAAATAAAATTTGATACAAAAACACCGTTTAAATTGATCCTTAAAGATTTAACCCGGACATATTATGTTTTTTTTTTTTTGGAAAATACATGTACAAAAATAATCTGTCTTTAATATTCCAAAAATAGATAAATACAGAATCCCTAAAGAAAGCCCAACACGGCAAAATTGAAAATGTTGCAGGCTCGGTTTGATTGAGCCTGTTCAACTTCCCAAACAGTGTGACCTTGTCTCTTTATTATTTATGAAAATAAAATTTTGATACAAAAACACCGTTTAAATTGATCCTTAAAGATTTATGCCGGACATATTATGTTGTTTTTTTTTTGGAAAATACATGTACACAAATAATCTGTCTTTAATATTCCAAAACCATTTACATGTTTTACAATTTTCTTAAAATATACCAGTAAAGTCTAACTTATAAGAAAGAAACACAAATGTGTTCCGGCTTGTAGTAAGCAAGTCTAGTTGTTTGTAAGTTTACTTGAATATATTATGAGTGTGTGACCTTATACTTGGATGCAACACATGAACCCAAATATTTAGCCATCCGTCGGGTCTTGTTTAGTTTATGTGCTAGTAAACCATTTAAATATAATATATGAATATTACAAGACTTTCATTATTTTTAATTGCAGTGTTTAAAGATGACCTCGTGAAGTTCAATGCAAATCAATACAGCTCTATCCCACTCTCACCTTTGTGCGAGGAGGTCACAACACCTCTGATGGATTTCTATGTCATGCCAGATATGGTCACAAAATTAAAAAAAGAAGTGGTTCCAATAAAATCACTGAGGGACATGTTCTATAAGCCAAATGGAAATGAAACATATGATGAAATATATGTTACAGCAGACGCCGGATTTGGAAAAACTGCATTTAGTAAAAGACTGGTTATGACATGGTGTCAAGCACATCAACCGGATTCCAAAGAATCTAATGAGGATATTAATACTATGAGCAACTTTAGTTTTTTATTTCTAGTATCTTTACGCAATGCAGAAGACGAATGTAACATAGATGGTATGATTGAGAAACAAATCTTGAATAGTATGTGCAAACCATCAACATATACACGTACTTTCCTAGAGGAGATTTTGTCTAAGGAAAAATGCCTTGTAATATTGGACGGACTTGATGAATGGATGCATACAACACCTACTACATGTTTAAAACCAGAAAAACAAGTGCCCCATAGGAACTTCCGACCAAATACTGCCATAGTAACTACGACTAGACCATGGAAGCTCAGTGTCCTTAAGCTGAAAAGTAATGAAGTTGACAATACTGTTGAAATCAAAGGACTTAATGGAGAATTGGTGCGACAACTAACAAGAAACGCTATTTCAAAAATGTCGGAAGAAGTAGGAAGTAAAAAAGACCCCATTGATACTCAGATTGCAGATTTTGAAGAAACAATAGAGAAAACGAACGTAAAAAAACTCCGAGAAATTCCTCTACTTCTTCTCTATATGATATGTCTTTGGTATGATGAAATTGACTTTGGGCGATCAAAGAGTGAATTCTATGTAAGAGTCATTGAATTTCTCTTAGCAAGATGTCAGAATTTAAATAATACGGAATATTCTCCCGATGTCAATGTACCTTTATGCTTTAAGGAGCAAAAATACTGCCAAAGTCACTACCAAATGTTGCTAAATGTCAGTAACTTAGCCTTTTGCAACCTCTTTTCTCCAAATAGGGAAAGCACACTTGTCTTTGATAGCACTTTAGCTGAGAAGACTTTGAAAGATAACTTTGATATTACATTAAAGTCCGGTATTTTGACACAAAGTAAAGAACAAAAAATGACAACTTGTAAGAGAAAAGTTTCGTTTGCACATAAATCGATACAAGAATTCTTTGCAGCACTATTTATATACTCAAAAGGAGAAAATATCGTAGAGTTCGTCCGGCCAGTATGTAAAGATATTGACGACATTCTTCAGATGAAACTTGTGTACTCCTTTCTTTCTGGTATTAGTTTGCGGTTTTCAGAACAATTGTTTCGAATGATAATGGACGTTGCGGCAACAGACAAAAGAACAAAAAAATACAGAAGATCTTCGCTGATTTGGGACCGAAGAATCACACAGGCATTAGAAGGAATTCAAAATATGTTTGTTGACATTTTGAATGAAAGCTGTGATATTGATACAGTATGCTTTCTCAGACTACAGGATTTTTTCATAGGTTATGAATGTGAATCTCACAATTACACAAATTCATTACAAAAACTCTTGTCTGTAAATAAAGCAAATATTAAAACAGTAAGTATCAAATCGAATCAAAATATCAGTAATTTGCACGAGATACTTAAAAAGTTCGAGCTAAATGAAACAAAAGGTCTTGAAAAGGTTTTTTACAGAAATGATACTATTGGTGGAGAAGTCAATGTTCTGCTAGAAGGGTCAAAAGATACTCTTAAGTACTTGACACTTAATTGTCACAAGTGGGACAACGATGTTAAATGTGAATGGCCAAACGCCTTATTCGACCAGCTCGGAGAGTTGAAGAATCTGCAGGGTATTGCTATTGAGGGATTTGTCATTCAGCATGAGTTGTTAATAAAATTATTGGGCTATCTCAAAGAAGAGTCATCGTTGCTAGAGGTTTCACTGTACAACTTAAAATGCGCTGATTCTGATCATAATATTAAAGGATGCTGCGAACTTGATTTGTCCACTAATAAAAATATTAAAGTATTAAGGTTAAACTGTATCCCAATATCAGACATGAAGATTAATGTTTCTTCACTCAGGTCATGTGATGTTGGAAAGTTAAATACAGTTCCTTCATATCTAAATTATTTAGAGAAGGCAGATAAACTTAAAACATTTTTGTGCAGCTTTCAAGAGTCAGAAGATGATATTGAAAGTATTCTGGAAAAGCTTCAAGCGTTTAGTCACTTACAGATTATTCAACTACGGAAAATGAATGTCGGTGAAAAGGTTCTAAAATTGCCACCAAAAATTAAAAAGATGAAATTATGGAACGTTACAATTTCAGTGCAAGCCCTTGACAAAGTGCGTACGGACTTGGAAAATGTTGACCATCCAGTATGTGTGGAGATTGATGAATGTACAGTATTGCCAGATTTAAAAGCTTTTGAAGACTTCAAAGGAATAATCCGTCGTCAATCAACCTCATTCACAGTCGACTGCCCAAATGATAAAAACAGCGAAAATTCGTTTGTATTTACAACCAAAGGAAAGTCAATATGCGATTGATCAAATATCGAACCTGTTACCATGAAGTGAAGTAAAGTGACCCCCAAGGAATTATCAAGCCCTGGTTTTTATCATTTAAAGAATATTGAATCGGCAAGTAATATGGCCTCCCTATATATAGAAATTACCATCGTGAAAAGTAACCCACATTTAATAATGACCCCTAAAGACAAATCTGACCAGTGCTCTCGCCGTTACTTAGGCATTAGTGGCGTACCGCCAAAAAGTGGCGAATCCACAGACTAAATCGTGCTTGATGTCGCTTGGGCAATGGGGCCGAGATAACTATTGATGACGTAGATCGGTCGCACAGGGCAAATCCATTCAAAGCTACGTCTTCACATATGAAACCAAGGGACATCATCGTGAAATTTGTGAGTTATCGTGCTAGATCTAAACTTTTTAGCAATAAAGACAAGTTAAAAGTCTCAAAGTTAACAGGCGTTTACCTCAATGAAGACCTTATACTTACACGAGGCCTTTGTTTAACAGACTCGTAAATTAATCAAAGACAAGATTGTGAGCGGAACAAGGACCGTAGACGGCGTAATACTGATAAAAGACAACAAAGCCCGCATCGAAACCAAGAAAGACTTTGACTCATTTCTGTCAAAGATATACTGTTGACGGCTTAACAGTGTAAAATATAGTATGTCACGCTGTGTTTAATCTGTTTTGTTTTGATCACCATGTGTGTTTGTAATACTGATCATTTAACGGTTGAGTTGCTCACATTTTTATAAGAGAAAGTCAAAGATTTCACAAACGGACCGTTACGAAGATACCAACTCTTTTTAAAGAAGGCCTTTGAATCCTTAATACGAATTCGGCTTCAACTAAATTATAAGCTATTTTTCTCTCGTAATTCTATATACATGTAGTTTTATTTCTAATATATGTGTTCTTCATACAGTGAATATCTCATTTAATAAAATGTCACGGGAAATATAATAACAATAACGTTAAAACATATTCAAATAAAAACGATGTTTATTCAGTAAAAAAAATATTTATTGTATAATTATATTGGACGGTAGCTGACGAATATAAGGGACAAGGGACCAATTGCTTACTCTGTACTTTTGTTATTAGGATTGATTCCCTTGACTTAGTTCAACTACACACAATTGTCATGTTTATGATGTATCCGACCTACTTTGTAAATTATGAGTTCCTCGTTATATAAATCATGAAAATATAGCACATGGAAAAGAATCAAACATATATTCGTGTTTCATAATCTTATAAAATCCCTGTTATTGTATTTTGTTTGTTTGTTTATTTTTTTCAGTGTGAAAAGTATTGACTTTTTACATACCTGTCGTATATGTAATTGATAACAATCATCTAATTTCATTGTTATTGTTTTGTCGTGTTTTTGTTTGTTTGTTATTTTCTTTTTCTTGTTTTCTTTTTTTCTTTTTCATGTACCACTTTAATATTGAACCATTAATTTTGTAAATGATCTTATCTATATTTTAAGCCATGTAAAGTAGGCCCAAAAATTCATGACTTACTGTATCTGGCAATATTTTTCTTCTTCAAAATTCGTCGATACTAAATAAAATTATTTTGAACTGAATATTAATCTAAGGAGGATAAAGTTTTATCAGTCTTTACCATGTTTTGATATTTGGACTTATTCTGCAAATACATTATATATATTTTCCAGACTGTACATATTTGTTGAACTTATGCATGAATTTAAAAGTATTATTAAAGCACCAGTCATTTTTGTTAATTTGTACAGTTGCATAAAAGCATAAATACTAAGTCTTTACATTTCTTTAAAATTTAAAAAAGAAACAAAACATTTTTCAGCAAAAAAAAATAATCAAAATACCCATGCTTAACTCAAATACTTGTAATTATTTTGTGTTCATGTATATATGGTTTTCTTTGTAAGTAATGCTGATTGTTTGTCTTCATGTACTTGTCATATTTTGTAAATGATAATAATTGTCCCTTTTTTGTATCAGTATTATTTCATATCATGCATTTTGCTACTGACTTGATATAAAGTTGATAGAAAACAGTTATATTAATCGGCACTAAAGAAAAATATAATTTTCTATAATTTTCAAGACACATTTTTATAGTTATCATAATCATTAACGCTGCACCAACACTCCTATTATGACTACCATTGATTTATTTTATTCATATTTTTATAAATTTCATTTTCAATGTACCTGCAATTCATTTTTTTAAAGTTTCATTTTCAATGTACCTGCACAAGGTTTTTTGTGGAGGATGTGACACATAAAACATATATGTCCTGTCTCTGATGCCTTACTTAAATGTTTTTAGATACCATCCCCAATGATATTGTTATTGCATGCAAATATGACAGTGTCACAGACAGAACCTGGAACCAATGACAAATATACGTTAAATATCATCATCCGTTTTTACTCTACATTTATACTTCCTCAATGGCTATCAATAATATTACTTTGTGATGGAGATATTCATCCTAATCCTGGTCCATCTGCTGAAAGCAACTCTAGCACCGACTCATCTTTTGCATCTTCTATTTCTGAGCTGATAAATAGTGGGTTAAGTATTATGTGTTTAAATATTTAGAGCCTTAGACTTAAGCTCGATATACTTGAACTCTAAACACAGTTTTATGAATGAAACCTGGCTTCGTCCTGAAATGCATAACAATGGCACTGAAATACCAAATTTCCAGTACCCTGTTCGTTGCGACAAAACAGACAGAGTCGGTGGCGGAGTAGCGATCTATTTCAAAGAGAGCTTAAGATTTCATACAAGATCTGATTTATTCTGTACGTGGTATCGAATGTATATGGGTGGAATTTGATATAAACAGTCGTAAACTTCTTCTAGGCGGTATTTATAGACCCCCAGACTCTAACAATAAGCATTGTCTTCTTCTTTAACATTGTATAGATCAAGCATTTTACGAGAGATCTGACAATATCTTGATTGCTGGCGATTTTAACATAAACCTCCTAAATTCTAATTCAAACAAACTGTCTAATCTCATTACCTCTCCAATGCAGAACAGCTTATTACTACACCAACCCACTTTACAGAACGCTCTTGCTCACTACTCGATGGAATGTTTGTATAGAACACGAATCATATATTAACAAGTTTTGTTGCAGACCCATTTATTCCAGATGTTATTCGTTAAATATATTCCAATTGTATCAGTAATTATTTTTTTCGAAACCATAGGGTACCACATACAAACGCAAAATATGGCTTTATGACAGGGTGACTACTCTGGCTATAGAAAAGCAATTAACTCAGTAGACTGGCAATCCATAACAAACACTGACAATGATATAGATGAAACAGTCAACCGAATAACTAGTATCATATTCATCGCCGCAGACAACAATAATCCTAAAAAATAGTAACAATGAAACCACATGATATTCCATGGATGACCACCATAATACAAAATCTCATTAGAAAAAGCAAAAACGCCCAAAAAGCAAAACTGATGAATACAGAGTTATCTTGACAATAATTGAGAATATTTCGAAATGCGGTTACTAAACAAATAAGAAAATGTAAAAATGAAGATCAAAATTAATTAATTGAACAAATAAACTCAACAAATACTTCAACGAAAAATTGGTTTAAACTGACAAAATCTTTCACACAAAACCAATCAAAACCAACAAACCCAGTCCTCCTTGATATCAGAATTTCTGCAACTACTGACAAAGAGAAGGTAGAACTATTAAATAATTTCTTTTGTACACAATCAAACATTGACGTTCAATACACACAACTCCCAAATATGATCTTGCATACAAACTCATCTCATCCCCAAATAACAATTACATAAGAAGATGTCAAAGATGCTATTTCGTTAATTGACCCATCGAAAGCCGGTGGGCCAGACTTTATTTATCCCCGATTACTGAGAGAAGGATCGTTCTTTCTGTCTTAACGTTTGGCTGACTTTTTCAACATGCTACTTTCAAAATCTACCTCTCCTACCTCCCGGAGAATAGCCAATGTCACTGCTATATTTAAAAAGAATGATTCATCTAAACCTTCGAACTACCAACCCATTTTTCTTTTAAGCTGTATAGGTAAAGAAATAGAGAGATGTTTCCACAAATACTTGTACAACTATATTATTGCCAACAACCTCCTCACGTCTTATCAATCCGGTTTCGTCAAAGGTGACTCCACCATTAATCAAATTACATACATATACAACAATATTTGCAAGGCTCTTGACGAAGGATTGGAGGTTCACGCTGTGTTTTGCGATATCTCTAAAGCATTCGACTGAATATGGCATCGAGGTCTCTTTCATAAGCTTACCTCAATTGAAAACGGTTCCCTTCTTAACTAGTTTACGTCCTGTCTCTCTGATCGCAAACAACGCCTTGTATAGGCTAATTGTTTTTCTACGAGGTATGATCAAAAAGTTCTCGGCCCAACATACTTTTAGCCACTACACTGATATTTACACACAATACGTCGATACCTTTATCTTATTGAAGATAACTGACCAAGTTACACGCGGTTTTACACAGATTAGGTAACATAAAACAAATTTTGATCAGTAGAAGGGTGTGTCATTTAGACAAAATGGAGAAAGTTGAAATCAGAGTCGTCATTAAAGATGTAAGAAAGGGATGTCCCCCAAGGAAATCCATGAAGACTTCATGGATACACTTGGAACGAGCCCCCTTCCTATAACACTGTGAAAAATAGTGGTGAGTTTAGCTTGCAGATCGGGTAATGTGCACAAATGCGAGATTTTGCGGGTTTCTGGGGAAGTGGGATGAGCTTCTGTTCATACGGGAAATTTCGACTGATGTCAGGGAATGTAAGGTTTCCATAGATGGGCCCCAGACATTTTCACTGCCCGACCAGAAACGACCAACTTGACATTTAAAGATTTTTTGTCGGGTCAAGGATAACCTGATTTTATTTACCGGACCGTGCTCGGGATGAACTTTGTCCATCATTCGACCCAGAAACCAAAAACAGGCATGCGTGGAACCCCCTGGTTCTCCTCCGAAAAAATTCAAAGGGGTTTCCTCAGCAGGAAAATGTGGTTTAAATTTTTTTTGGGATGTCGGGGAAAAATAAATTGCTTCTTGAAAAAGGGTATACCATAAACGGTACGTACTATGCAGACGAATTAAGACGTCTGCGTCAAGAAATCGTGCGAAAAGGAGGGGCAAACTGACTCAAGGCGTTCTGCTCCAGCTCACACATCCCAAGTTGCGATGGCTGCTGGAACTGACTGCGGTTTTGAAATTCTTCCCAATCCCCCATGTTCTCCCTTGGCTCCCTCTGACTTCTACCTGTACATTTAGTAAACATGACTACGAAAGACTGGTAGGACCATTTCACTTTCATGAATTCTCGATTTCATCTTCATTAATTCACGATTTAAACCTCACGAATTCAACTTCGTGAATTCACGATTTCAATTTCATGAATTAACGTTTTTAACTTCATGGATTCAACTTAACGAATTCACGATTTCAAATTCACTAATTCACGATTTCAACTTCATGAATACTCAATTTCAACTTCACGAATTCACGATTTCAATTTCATGAATTTGAAATCGTAAATTCGTGAAGTTGAAAACGGGAATTCATGAAGTTAAAATTGTGAATTCATGAAGATGAAATCGAGAATTCATGAAAGTGAAATGGCCCTTCCAGTCTTTCGTAGACATGTTTACTGACGTTTTAATTTACACATTAATATATTCTGCATTAATATACAAAATATACATCAATAGAAAACAACAACAATCATTTGATATCGTGTACGAGAAAAGTGCAGGTTTTTTTCCCCGATATTTTTTATATTAACTCAAAATTTAGGCGTGTATACGTTTCAGAAAGGACCTTTAGATTCTTTTTCTAATTTTAGAATGGCGAATTGAAGTCCCTGATCAGTATGTTATTTTTAAATGACCAATGAAAATTCTACGTACCGAGTTGTTTTTTGATGCTAAGATTATGTGACATCAGGACAAATACCAAGAAAGCTGATATGATGAAAACCCTTTCAAACTGTGCTTGAGATACAGTTACTTGTATCCTCTTTACAAGCGAAGATCAAGCGGAACACATTTCAATATCGGGAAAAAATAAGGCCATTTTTTATATCTCAAACCCGTTATGATCAAATCACATGCATATAAATATTTAAAGATATAATTCAACAGTAATTTAGTATAGTATAGTATATAGTATATTGAAGTATATTTAAGACTCGCATTGGTGTTGTTGCAATGCAATATCATAAAAATACTTTAGCACAACGGTTTAACAACGCAATTTCCAATACTAAAACGTTTGTTTGAATAAAATAAATACTAATAAATGCAAATCTTTAGTGACGAAATAAATATATATAACGATTAAATAACATTTTGAAAAGGCCAATACGGAGAAAAGAGTACAATAGAGAGACATCTCTCCTATCAAAAGAAAATGAAGATTTCTTTCTGTTACACACATTGGTAGATCTAAAGGAGTCAAAATTCGTATGAACACGGGTATGAACTCTTAAACTTCGAAGCACTGTTATTTTACATCAGATGTAATAAAATAATAAGTCAATATGTACATATACGTTGAAGTCAAACCTCAAAACGATGTGGAAATTAAATTTCCAGTAACGACAGAAAATAAAGTTCATTATGCTGCCAATCTATAGACCTTTTTACGACGCGGTCCGTTGCTATGAAAAGTCGACCGGAATTAGAATTTTCTCGCGCATGCGCAATCTGCGTTGGGCAAAAAATGCTTCGCCCTACAAAGAAATATAGTAGAAGTTCATAGACAATTCCGAGTTAGTTCAAGGTAAACGGTAGAAAATTATATAAAATAGCTTTCAACAAATGTAGAAAAGGTCACTTTATAGCTTTGTGGCGAAGAATGCCATAAAAAGGCATGGAAAAGATACTTGTTTAACAATTAACGATCACGGACCTGACACTGAGATCATTTTTAAAGAAGATGTGGAAATACGAGGTGTGTTCAAAAAGTTCGTGGATTTTTGCTGTCATTTTTTACTTGGTTCATAAAAATGCCCTTAGTGGATATGAATCGAAAAAGTGTCTTTATTTCTAAAAGTAATATTTACTTTTATTGTTAACTTTTATTTCCTTTATGAGTTATGGGCACTTTAATAACCATGGCAACGCAACATCGGCGCACGCCGAACTTTTCATATAATGTTTAAATATAAACACATGTTGAAACAAACTGAATGATTGTTTTATGAAGTAAAATACAAGTAATCATCTATTAATATTTAAATGACATAAATCTGACATTTGACGTCGTTTGGACTTTGAATAGCTGAACAAACAGGTTTTGAGCAGCAGTAGACAGATGGGTAAGTTGGGTAGTATAAAGCCCGTAAAAA